GGAGAACAAAAAGTTGTTCTCCTTTCTCTTCAATCCTTTTCTCCATACAGTAGTGGCGGATACCATCATTAAATGCATCCCAAAGGAGGATTGACGTCAGGAAGACGGTTAGTCAATCTTAAAATCAAAAGCTTAATACTTGTGTAATATGAATGAAAACATATTACGCTGACCCCAAATATAGGAATAATGACAGGAAGATGATTATACAATAAAGCTTATAACATATAAACAAACAAACAAACAAACAAATAAAGTGCTTAAACAATACCGCATTTAGGATAACTATAAGCAACGGAACACTACGTGATAGTAAAGTATTCCCACGGTCATAACAACTAGTTGAACAAGTACATAACACGGCAAAATTCAACATGTGTGATGCATAAATATAGAATAGATGAAGATGATGTAATTACTTAAAAAATCCTGTCGACACATACGCATCTAATTTACAAACTGTGTAAGCGTGTAATTGACACGTGTATGTATGATTTGGGCGCTTTACTTACGATCGTGTGGATAGAAAAAAGAAGGCAGTAAATCTTTAGAGATCTACCATTTTTGTTTTATGAATAAGTAATGGTAATTCCTTCTTCACTATTGGTTTACCAGTGAGATTCGAATATTAAGTCAAATCACTTGGCGTATCATGAAGAATGCACCATGAATTAACTACAACGGTAAGAGCGAGGAGGGATTGTTAGTAATGGGAAGGGATAACTAAACATTGCTAGCAATATTTATCAGGTCAATCTCCTTATGGTTACCCTTAAAAACCATCGTGACCGATTTCATCCATGACTGGTGTCCAGCCAATGTATATCGATAACGCAGGCAAAGTTATCAATCCATTATCATCCATTACGAAAAAAACACAATGGTATCCAAGAGGAATCGTGTGAAAATCGACTCGTTAAATACTATTCATAAAAAAACTCGTATTTTCACGACAGGTCTTTGTAGACGTTTTTTTTTTTGTGTTTCGTCCTTTTTTCTCGTTTGTAACCATTTTTTTTTAATGCGTGAAATTAGTAACAATTCCTTTCCCCCCTTCTGCACCAATTTTCAACCCGTGCATTAACTAATCGGCGTGGATCAATAAGGTCAAGCATCATTAGGAGCCATTCTTGAATAGGTAACTGCAAGTGACTTGTTACTTAGAGTACTTGCATACTTAAGATATACGTCCCAGTTTTTTATAACAATGTTGTATCAGTATCAGCCACTACATCACAGTATTGAGGGACAATAGGTATACAGTTTCAATTATTAACTCTAGGCTTTTTGTCATTGACCTATTTGCATACCACTGATGATAAGAGGTCATTGCCATCGGTATTCTTTATTATTAGGTAATGATAACTTCACGGTCGAGATAATAATCACGGACGAAATCACTGTAGAAGTGTGGACTTTATGACATTAGTTCAAAAGGCTGTGAGTGGATAATTTGTTATATCACATACCATAGATGAATAATGTACATATTACTCTTTTTCTATGATCATACAAACTGATTAGACTCTAATACTTCAATATAAATCTAACTACATTTCATTATTAAAGGGATATTTTTTTAACCTATATCAAAAAGAAGGAGGTTCTGAATTCTGTATTTTTTGATAATATGTGACATATCTATTTTGACCATATATCAACTATTTTTTCAAAAAGTGGAAATGGGGAGAATTTTTGTATTATTCAAAAACATCCAATTCTTTTTTACATAAAATTCATGAGCCTGAAGATGATGTTTTGAAAACAATCATTTGTACAAATGATAGAACATAATAAAGACAGCAAAATAAAGCACAAATATAAATAAAATATATAATTGATATAATGAGATTCCATCAAGAAGTCACAAGGTAAAGAATGAATTATACATTAGAAAGTAACTCTTTAATTAAAGACAACAAGTCACCACAGAAGGCAAAAGTATGACATAACATAAATTAAATAATTATAACTATAATTTACCTAAAAGAAAACGAAAGCGTGGGACTGAATAGGCCATTGTGTAATCTCATTGTTTGTATCAATTAATAGGTAAATATGTTAACTTTAATTGTTTATTTAGAAATAACATTTATATATTCAGATGTATATGTATATTCCCAATTTTGATTGTGTATTATTCTTCTTTAATCAAAAGGAATTCAGTAGTTATTAATTTGATTTCAATGTTTAGCAACTGATTAAAAAAGTGTTCCACAACTTTCTTTTTTGTTTAAAAAAAATTATATAACTTTATTGATAAAAAAAACATGTAACAGAACTGAATATATACAGTACTGGATCTTTGCAAAAGTTATATTGCTACACAATTTCTATTTTCTATTTTTTACTATTTTTTTAATAGTTGAAAATGGTATAGTAATCCCGCCTACACTATTGGTATATGCTGGCTGGGCATCAGTGAAGGATGACAGATGAGGATGAAAGTGAATAAGTGAGTTGGGAGAACCATGTGGAGGTGAACCAAAACAATTTTTGTGGTTGATCATTTTGAGACTTGTCTAAATTGTCACCAATTGCTCTGTTTTTTTCTTTTATAATAAGTCTTGATAAAATAATAATTATATATATATATATATATAGATATATGCGTACTGCCTACCTGATGACCAAGGAATTTATAATAAAATTATTTTAATTATTATTTTATTCATTAATGTTTGTATAATGTAGAAATTATAATTAATTAAAAATAAATTACACTAATGAATGTGTATGTAATATGTATGTAAACTACAGGTGTGTGCCTGAAATATGCAAAATATATTATTATATAAATATATGTATTTATATTTATTTATTTAATGTTGGTATATTAAATGGTTTTAATGCGGAAAAAACTGAATATAATGATATATGTATAGCTCAATATCAACCAAAGTGGCACTTAATATTTAGTCTTTCCAGTGTCAATATGATTCATCAGGGGGGAAAGAGATTGTTAGTAATGGAGACTGAGAATCCCATTGCTAGCAATATACCCAACCAGGTCAACCTCCTCGCGGTTCCCCCTGGAAACTATCATGGTTAATTCCTGACGAATTCATCATAATGGGCTAACTGGTCTGTTTTCATTCTCATCTATCACCCTTCACTAGTGCTCCGCCAGCGTATCCCGTTAGCGCAGGCGGGGTTACTATTCCATTTTCACCCATAAAAAAAATTATTCATCGGTATGCCAAATTGCATTTAAATCTGTTTAGTTATTTAGACATGATATACATAAGTTTGCAAAGATGTTTGATGTTTAAAATTTACATAGATATACTACATCCTGGATTAAGTTAAGAATATTCTTACTGAAATTAAGCTAAAACAGATTTGAATAGATTTGTATGTAATATATTCTATAATTAATGTTTTAATTCCTTAGAAAAGCACTTTTTAAATAATCAGTTAGAAATATAAAAAAAAGTTAAATTGTTAAATAGAAAATTTGCTTTTTTTAATAGATGAAAACGGAATATATAATAATAGATGATAGCGGAATGATAACCCCGCCTGATGGGGGCCGCCTGAACACTGATGGGACATCAGTGAGGATGAAAAGGCAGATCAGTTAGCCCATCATGACGAATTCATAAATTAGTTATGATGGTTTTCAGAGGGAATTGTGTGGAAGTCGACCTGATATGTTATATAGATATCAATGGTGGACTAACCTTCCTATTTGATAACAATCCCTTGCCGCCAGAAAATTGGGTAGAATAATGTATACTCTTAGAGGCACTATGGACCAAGAACCAAAGTTCAAACTAAACAGATAAATACTTCGACATAAAAAAATTATTGAATGTTTTTTTTAAGTCCCAGAAATGTTAGAGCCTCTATAACTCGAAAATGGGGCAGTGCATGAAAAAAAGCATATGATACAAGTTCCTTTTCTAAAGAAATCCTATGCAATGAGTAAATAAGGGGGAAGGGGAGGGTTATCATTTTTTCATCATTATTCAAAAATTATTTTGTTTTTTAAGCTTTTCAATAGTGCCCCTATCCATACACCCAAACTTCAACAACTACAAAAACTGCTCCTAAGGGTCACACCACTGACAGAATATTGATAGATACTGAATTGTGACTTTTTTGTTGACCCTACTTTTCATAGTATCACAGGTTCCCCTGAGTATTGCATATTAAGGATCTTATGCATTTTATATCATTTCTATATATTCTTTCATTTATATATCATTCAACATTCATTTTTTTCTTTAACATGGTTAAAATTTATATATTAAAAACAGTTTGGTAAGCAAAAATTATGAACACTCTTAACATATAAAACAAAACAAAACAGCAAGATTCAGTAATATGTAACTGTAATTATATGTAGTAGTAAATGTAATAGTAGTATTAGTGCAAAGTCATTTTGATGTATCAATGTTTGAATTCTTACACTTAAATGGCTGGAAATTTTGAATGAAATTATGTAAACAACCTATTGTATGATTCCCTGATAGGATACTTCCATCCTAAATCATATAAGCAAGCTTCAGTACACAACTACTAAAAAAATCTATAATTATAATGAGTCACCAGTACTCTGCAAGCTATCTGCCCAACATAGGAAACTAAGAACCGCCTGACAATACTGATTAAAATATTAAACAAAAAATATAACAAGAAATATCTACATGTATGGACTTATTAATTAGTTATTACAAGAAATTTTATAAATAGTATTCTGATCATACAAATCTACTATTCAAATTGGCGAAGTGGACGTAACTTTTACCAATTTAAAGACTAATTATTTTAAACGAGAATTCCTAAGGGAATCATACCTATTGGATAATGTTAAGAACAATTTCAGCGTTTTAAGAATTACTAGAGTCCATTGTAAAAAATTTTATATTTTAATATTAGCTATTTTAAACAAGACATAGATAAAAAAGTAGGTACAATTAAGTATATACTTTGGAAAATCCTCTACTAAACTTCAGCAAAACATTCCCAATTCAAAATATAGAAAGACAACTTACTTTATTCAGCAACTACAGACGATGCTTGACGGAAGATATTCAGCACAAACGACGTAGTTATAATTAACGCTGTTCTTCAGTAAAAACATTGAATGCACAAAGATTATCACCAAACAAAACCAAATAATATACTAGTCACATCAACTAACACCCACGATTACAACCTTTCACGTCCATTTTGTGCGATAAATTCAATTAAATATTTACATTTGTAATCACATGTTAGACACTAATAGTTTGCTACTTTTGTTCATAAATCAGAATATTGCATTTGTATTAAATTTGTCGTATAATAAAATGGAGGCACCTTGCATCACTCGCGATGAAATAGATATAGGTAGATAGATTTCTTTAGCTTTTCGTTCGAAGAAATGATAAAACATAGATAGATGTAATAATATAACAACAATATGTTCATTCAATGAACAGCATAACAGAATCGTATAGTAAAGCTAGAACTCAGAGAAGAAAATAAACCCTCTCTCTCCGGCTTCTCCAATTTCCTTCCCGTCTTTCTTGTCGTCTCTCTAGCTTGCATCGAATCGAAATCGAATCGACTCGATTATAGAGTTAAAATGATTTGGAATTTCCAATAAAGTTACCAATCTAAAAATTGTTTTCTACTATGTTTTTTTCATTTGGAAATAGCCCATTTCCAACTTAAAAAAAAAAAACTTAGAACAAACGGGAAACGAAATAGATTTCTGTAGCCATGAATTATGGTTCTATCCTAATGAATAAGGCTAGTGTTTTTGAAATAGAATAATCAGGATGAATTAAGTTTATTAAGTAATAAGATAAAAGTAGGAAAAGATATAATTTTTTATAGCATTCGTATTGTAAACGACTAAACAGAATGATAAAACAGACATCTTAACAATGATTTTATAGTAGGACTTAACAAAGATTTTGAAGTTAGCAATAATAAGATATATTAATTAAGAAGCAATTGTGCTATGTAATACCATGTTTTGATATTTAGGAATCATTTCTCAAGATTTTATAGAATGTTTACAGCAATAATGAATAACTCTTAACAGCCGTGTCTGTCTTATGTAGTTTATGATGGTCACTCACATTTATTATTATTGAATGTACTATTTTTTTATATTACAAACTAATTATCACAGATAATACAAATTAAATATTAAATTTGCTTAAAAATTTAACAAAATAGTCCCAATTAGATTTTTATTTTTTAACATATAGTAACACTGATGTAGTGGAAGCTCAGGATAGACGACAAAAATATTAATAAATTTGCTACTGAATAATAGATGGCGTATTAAAGTTATTTATAAGTGTATAAAACTTTATTAAAAGGTGGAATTCTAAACAAAAAATGGGCGATTGTAAAATAATAAGACATTAAAATACTCATTCACATCGAGTGTTTATTCCAAAACTTATAATTAGTATTTACAACCACTGCTTTCGTGACCGGAATCAATGAGCCAATACTCGGTTTGAGGTTAGGTTTATCTTGTAGAAACGGTAGCCTCTTTACGCGCAGCATCTTGTAACAATTGAGTGTCCACTTCATCAGCTGGAAGTTGTACGTAGCGGACTACAGAACCACGGATAAAACAGTTCTTCACTGATAACATATGTGGATATTTATCCGAATCTATAACGCTAATATCCGACAACTTTATGTTTAAATATTGATCCACAGAATGTAACGTGCCGCATATGCTGAGATCGTTTTTTAGTTCAACTACAACATCTTTACCAACTAAAGACTTAAAAAATGAATAAAATAACATTTTGAAATTTGTTTTTATATAAAAAGCGGTAAAAACACCCAAAAGAATATGCTGTTTATTTTTATTGCGTCGCTGTCAAATTTACAAATGTCATCAAACGTCATGTATCAATGTATGACAATTATTTTTCTTAAACATTCAATGTTCAGGCAAATGATTTATAGCCATACAGCCATGTCGAATATTTCTTTTTATAACACTATTAAAAGCGTTCATACTTCATCATCTTTAGATGTTACAATGTCTGTACTGTATATAGGTAATTAAATGTCTGTACTGTATATAGGTAATTAAATATTATTAATCTAAAATTATTTGACGATCTTGGTTTTCTAGAGATTAACACTGCCTTTATTTCTGATTGTTGCGAGTTTACTTGTACAATACAAACGTTTGTATTCACTAGCGTAACTGTTTTGATTCGAGTGTTTTGTATGTATAATATGTATTTGCAAAAAAACTTTATGTATTTATTTTTCAATATTCCTGTTTGATTATTTAAAAAAGTTCAATATAAAATTAATATATTGATCATAGAATGTTACGCACATAAAAAAACAATACTAATAATTTATTAATTTAATAAATGTAACTTACTGTTTACTTGCTTTGAGAATATATCCTCGATTATTTAGATAATCGAGTATCAAAAACTAGTCAAAGATTAGTAACTGACACATATCTTTAAAATATTTTTTTTTGTATTGCAAGTTTTTTTTATTTATTGAATTAAAAATTTCCCAAATCAGTACAATTTTTAAACGATTTTGAAAAAGGAGGAGGTTATATATTCAATTGTATATCTTTTATCCATATCCACCAGTTTCGTAGTCAATTGTGGACCGATTTTAAAAATTCGTTTTGTATTCGAAAGAGTATACGTCTGAAGTGGTCCCATTGTCACCAATTCAGGATCTGATAATGGGATCCCAAGAAAATTAAGGGCAACCCCAAATTTAATAGGAACATATATGGTGGTTCACATTTTTCAAAACTTATGCGGATACTTGCATTTGGTAGTTATCATTAAATGTTGCTGATAGAAGGAATAACTCCTAACATTGAGTTTAGGAGTTAGAGAAAAATTCTTTAAATACTATGGGCACGTAATTTTTTTTTTTATGGGTGAAAATGGTATGGTAGCCCCGTCTGCACTAACGGGATACGCTGGCGGAGCACCAGTGAAGGGTGATAGATGAGAATAAAAACAGGCCAGTTAGCCCATCATGATGAATTCATCAGGAATTAACCATGATAGTTTCCATGGAGAACGATGTGGTTTGGTATATTGCTAGCAATGGGATTCTCAGTCTCCATTACTAACAATCACTTTCCCCCCGGGCACGTAATATTAGTTGTCATATTCCCTTAAGTTATTCAAATGAGCTGATAATAGAAGGTTTAACTTTTTAATGGTTAGAGGTTAGGGGATAATTCCTTGAATATTGTAAAGAAGTATACTGTTTCACTATTTGTATTTCAAGTTATTTGAGTGATTGCATCTAGAAGTCATCATTTCAGGCTGTTGAGATGATGCTGGAAACTATAGAACTCTATATCGATTAACAAAATACGTATGTTAAGTTTTTTTTTTAATGGGTGAAAATGGTATGGTAGCCCCGTCTGCGCTAATGGGATACGCTGGCGGAGCACCAGTGAAGGGTGATAGATGAGAATGAAAACAGGCCAGTTAGCCCATCATGATGAATTCATCAGGAATTAACCATGATAGTTTCCAGGGGGAACCGCGAGGAGGTCGACCTGGTTGGGTATATTGCTAGCAATGGGATTCTCAGTCTCCATTACTAACAATCTCTTTCCCCCAAAATAAAATCGTATGTTAAGATTTAATAATACTCTATTGGTTTAGTGAGTGGATTATCCCATTTGCGTATGTTAAAAGTTGTTGTTAAATACGAGTGGTATTATCACAAAAAATAAAAAAAAAAAAATAGAATACTAAAATTAATTAATTTGAAAATTAACTTACAATTATGCTATGATATAATAATAGTTTGATTGTATTATACATATGCATTTTTTACTCACTGCTTCCTAATTACTAATGTTTATTTTATTTAAATAATATATTTACGCTAAAAAAGAGAATATAATATTAAAAAAAAAAAAATAACAGGCCTCAAAAAAAAAAAAGGATAAACAGAAAACAAATAGAGAAAAATAAACTGACATTAGCCTTTAAAATCAAAGGACTAACAAAATAAGCTTTAAAGGAATACAACCTGATATAAATGAACAATTATAACTTGTAGGTATCTCTATATACATAGTAAATCTATAATCACATGTCTGTAAAGCATTTGCATGTAGATTGCAAATTTTTGATCAAACAATCAATCGTATATCGTAATTAATATTTAAAGTTATAAATTAGAATAAAATTTACCAGAGTGAATCTGAATTTGGAAATTTTAAATTAATAAGTTGAAGTGTGATCTTGGCATAGAATAGGCCACCCCTTCCTCTCTCCTGGGTGCCGTAAGAGGCGATTGAAGAATTAACTGCGCTTGTCAACCCGCTTGCCAAACGTGGCAATTACTAGCAAAACCGCCCAATAGGAGGAGGCCTACATTTAGCAGAAAACAGCTGATATAATATGGTATATGGTAATAAGTTGAAAAATTTATCTCCTATCCAACAATTCAATCTAATGGGATTCAAGTCCTCATCTCTCTATTAGGCGGAGCGAGTGTATTTCCAGTTACACCATAGAAGGAATACATACCAGGGTTATTAGTAGAGAAATAAAAATTTTTTTTTACAAGTTGTATATTGACTTAAATACTCATTATAATTATTTTTATAAGTTGATTATAAACAAGGGTCGCATTTTTAATTTTGACTCTATTAATAATTTTATTAGAAGCAAATGCTAAAAGTAGTCTTTATAATTGTAGGTAAAAATACAGTATAGCGTGTAAATGATTTAAAACGAAATTTCAGAAATAATATATATTTTGCGCTATAGCGAATACAGCATAAAAAAATTTAGGTAGGTTGTAATATCTATGCATATCATAATTACACTTTTTAGTCTCCTATTGGGCAACAAATATCATAATATAAATTTCAAAAAACTAGATGCGAAATTCTTTACCATAACCCACATATATTAAAAAACAAAATTTCTAATGTTGCCTTTGGTTACTAAAGACTACTGTAGATGTGGTGTTTTGTAAGGTTCATCGATTCAGTGAGAAATTTAAATTTCATTATGCTCGTCATATTGCCATCGGTATATTGACGCTATGTTTACTTCCTTTTGCTTAGATGTATACATTGTATTACAGTTTGCGTGATATACAAGTCTTACTACCTTAATACATTTGTGAAATGAACCATAAAAATAAGGGATAAGAGAGAATTAGAGAATTGTTTTATATATTATTTCTATCATAGTGGTATGTGTTTCTGTCATGTGGGCATAATCAAATATAATTATTATTATTAGATGGCCAACTTATATTTAGCGAACTGTAAATATAATAAATATACAGCAAAATAAATTCTGAACTAAACATAGTTTATTTTTCCATTATATCGCTTACACACTGTAGGTACAAATAAATTTCTGTCAATATACAATTGTGAGATACACTTAAGAGCTAACGAATTCTTACTATCACATAATAAATTATTTACCGGTCGATCTCACCAAAGACAACGTCGAGGGTGCCTATAATTGCTACGATATCGGCCAACATTAGACCTGTACCGATTTTCTCTAAAGCCGCAAGGTGAGCGAAGCCAGGCGCCTTGATTTTACATCTGGAAGAACATTGTTTCATTTATTTACCATTCTATTAGAAATTTAATAGAAGGACTCTATAATACAAAATGTGTAGTGATGTGGATATGGGCATAGTTGATTTCAAATAGTCGATATTTTAATAAATAAAAATACAAACAATCAATTTGCTGATCGTTATCATATCAGCAATTAACTGTCCGCTGGTGAACATAGGCCTTTTCCATAAACCGTCATAAGGAACAGTCCCGAGTCACCTGCATCTACAGTCCGCTGACGTCCAAGAATAATACAAAACAATAATCAGTTGATTAAACATTTCAATTTGTTATTAATTTCACTTACTGTTTTTGTAACCATTTCAATAAAATTGCGTTACCTTTCTAGTTCTTTTGAAATAGACTATATCTTTGTCTCATCCATAAATCATCATCAGTAAAGAAGTTTGTTTGCATATTGTATTTCAGTTCAAATGTTGTAACATTTAGGGAAATTATTGGCATAAGATTTTAATATTACAATGGAGGGCACGGTCGACTGAGGCTTTGATATTGCAAATATTTATAATTACTATGCTCATAGGTGTACTTATGGTGTACGTATCCCGGCGAGCCATTGGCGTGGCTGATGAATTATGTTTTATGTCACTTGTACAGTTTTGTCCATATTATTGAGGAGATATTGATGGTTAAATGTTGATATTATTATCCAATATAGAAGGAGAAGAGCCGAAAATTATCTCATATACCTGTAGGGCTTAGAACCGCCATCAGACACGAGGTAGATGCCGAACTCTCCCTTGGGCGCCTCCACAGCAGTGTAGGTGGATCCGGGAGGCACTTGGTACCCTTGTGTGAACAGCTTGAAGTGGTGGATCAGGGCCTCCATTGATGTCTGTAGAAATATATCATTTTAACCTGACTATTATTTATGACTGAAGATTGACCTGCCCCTAGGACTTTTTATTGTAAATTAATATACATATTAGTATGCATACATATTTTAAGAGATCTTAGTGCTGCTTTACTCACGTTTTACTACACCAGACTAGTTTGGAACCCAATAGGAGCCCTTATTAATGAGCGCGGTTCACGACTACAATACAGTATGACTCACGATAATTATTTTTCAGATTTTAATATTGTTATTTTAGGTAGATTAAAAAATAAATTAAACATTTATTATTATTTTTTCTCCAAAATTCAAACTTTCACAGATTAATATAATTAACTCCCATGGGAAGCACTGTTGGCTGCAGTTCAGGGCTAAAGAAAATTAAATCGGCGCACTATGCGGGTAGTATGTAGAAGCAAAGGTCTTTCCATCTTTCTCAGAAGATAATTGCCTCATTATTATATACTCATACAACTTTTTATACAAATGATGTTAGTAGGTTGTCAATTTGTTACCTTCATCTCTTCCCTAGATGGGGGTGTAAGTTTAGAGTCATCCGTCTTGATCTCCCCAGCCGGCATTTGGTTGAGACACTGTTCGATGATGCGCAGTGACTGACGCATCTCCTCAGCACGACACAAGTATCTAAATGAAATAAATAACATTGAATATATTACACAGCGCCATCTAGCTCTAAACTAAGCACAGCTTGTACTATGGTCCTAGACATTGGAGAAACATAATTAAAAACTTAATTGTAAATATATCTAATATTATAAAATTTTATTTTTTCATTGTATATTGACATACATTGAAGACATTTGAAAAAGATTGTTATGAAAAGTCTTAATAAGAGTAATGGAATACTAAACAATTTTTTTTAATTTTGTGGGTCTGTTTGTTTTGGTATCATATAAAAACTACTACACCAAATTAGATGCGGTTTACACAGTTGTCATCTTGATGGTCCAATTTAAAATATGTTTCATATTTATACGCCTTTTAGAAATGATAGATAGATAGATACTCTTTATTGTTTCCTCCAAAAGATTACAATAGTAAACTTATTATAAATATAAATGATCTATTACATTTGTTTTCTTATTTCATAAAATTGAGAATTTTATTCAGATGTAGCGAGGCCATAGTACAAACTAGCGGGGAAAAAGTTAATAATATTATTCATTCACTCCTTTACGGTTATAGAATATGTAGGTCACCTGTCATAGCAGTCTCCATTGGTACCGATCGGTACGTCGAAATCGAGCAGATGGTACGCGTCGTAGGGCTGCGCCTTGCGGAGGTCCCACTTGATACCCGACCCGCGGAGCATCACACCGCTGCCGATAGGTAACAAAATATATATATTAAAACATGGAAAAAAATATATTAGAAATTATATGGGTATCACCTCTATAATTAATTCCTTAAATTTTTTATCCTAATATGTTCTAACCTTTTTACTGCCTACATGGCAAACCATGTCTGGTTAAGCATACTTGTAGTTTCATCAAAATCGGTTATATATGATGTCCAAAGAATAAATTAGAATAAATGGTTTTACTCTGACAATTTCATGTACCTATTCCTTTACACCATCTCTAGGTGTGAACGAGTAGAGATTCTTGGGATGTATAATAAGCTTTAGAGAACCCCTGGTAGTAATTGATTGCAAGCTTCGTATATTACTGACAACAAATTCCAGCGCGTCCAAACTCGTTTCTGAAACATTTAATATTAACATAAACATTTCCTACATTTATTTATTTAACTACCTGAAGCCGTAATTAAGGGCGTCCTGCGCCGAGACTATCCCGATGTCCTTGGTGCGCTGCACCCAGAGCCGGTTAGTGGTCAGCACGTCTTCTACTTCGTCGATACGCTCCGCGAACTTGCTGCTAAACTCATAAATGTCGTCCATTAAACCTAGCGGCATGTCCTGTGGAATTCAATTGTTTATTATATACTAGCGATCCGCCCCAGCTTCTCAGGGGTAAATTAGAAAAATAATTTAGTCTTTTATATTAACTTTAATAGGTAATTTTTTTATATTTTAGTTACATTATAATAGTTTTTGCAAATTTCTCAATTTTTTTAAATAATATAGAGCTTATTGTACTTGCTGATAATGTAGCTTTTCATAAGTGAATGAAATTTTAAAGTCAGTCAAATACTTTTTGAGTTTATCCATTAAATTATAAAAATAGAAAAAGGTAACTTAGAAAGGTGCACTCACAATAGCAACACCTCCGGGCCTGATGTATGCGGCGTGCATCCTAGCGCCGCTGACCCTCTCGTAGAACTCCATCATCTTCTCGCGCTCCTCGAACAGCCAGAAGAAAGGTGTGAGCGCGCCCACGTCCAGCGCGTGCGTGCCGATCGCCATGATATGATTCAACAGCCGAGTCAGCTCCGCGAACAGACCTGACAATTATCACAAAAATGGCTAGGTAAAACTTTTTCATTATTTTACTACATACTTATAAGGTCTAATAATAAATAAATAAACAAAAATGGCTTCCAGATGAATATTGTGACTGGCAAATAACTGTTTTTTCCTTTCCTTGTGACATTCATAAATAGTTTTGTGAATTTCTACTGATATTTATTTTAACCATCTGGAAAGGTATGGCTATTTTGCCTATTTTTTTGGCGTAAAGCAAAAAATCATCTTTGCATTGTTTCTAAAGTAAAAGATAACTAGTGTAGTGTACTCTATGGGATAATTAGTCTGGGAGAAAAGCAAGTATTGTTAGCAATACACCCAAAGGTTCATGGTTCATTGTCAAATTTATCATGATGAGCAAACTGACTTGCTTTTATTCTTACCTATTATACCTTACTAGTGCCCCGCTAGCATATAGTGATAGAGTAGCCGGAATTACCATTCTATTTTCAACCATTAAAATAAATAATCTGCGGAAATAAGATCGCAAGATGTGGTGGTACATAGTGAAATAATATAATCTGTGACATCTACGATATTGTATATGTGTGACATCACTTTCCATCAAGTATATTTAGGTTACAATCTTGTTAAAAAATATAAAAAAAATACAACATACATCTAATGTACTTGGCGCGGAGCGGGACGTCGATGTTGAGTAGTTTCTCTACAGCCAAACTGTAGCACTGTTCATTGCACATCATGGACACGTAGTCGAGCCGGTCGAAGTACGGCAGCGCTTGTGTGTACGTCTTGTACTCGATAAGTTTCTCTGTGCCGCGGTGCAGCAGCCCGATGTGAGGGTCCGCCGCGCGAACGGTCTGTATGAATCATAGAATATTAATCAGCTGTTCTTTCTTGCTAATATACTGTTATTCAATTATAATTATTATAAATGTGAAAGTTTGTTAAGGTGTTTGATTGTTTATTACTCAATCTTTTACCAGAGGGAGACTTTGTACAAAAGTCGATTGCTTGGGTACCTCCGTCCCATTCGTGTTTCAACCGTGAAGCAGTTGTGTTTGCATGGCTGTGTTTCGGTTTGAAGGGTGGGATATGGCGTGAATTTACTGGGTACAGAGGAATAACACCTAAGTTCTAAGGAATGGCAACGCATGGGGGTTATCATGGGCGAAACAGTATACTCTGTTATGTCCATGGTACTGCTCATGTTCATAGGCGACGGTTACCACTTTCCATCAGGTGGGCCGTCAGCTTGTTTGCCATTCTAAGTTGTATAAAAAAAATCACGATTGTACCACTGAACTTGTAGAAATTTTATACTTCTGATACTACCTGAGAAATAAATTTGTGCTAGATATTTCAGAGATTATCACATAGAATATGAAGGAGTACATCGTTATATTTATGGTGTTGTTCATGTTTATAAAAGACAGTTATGTATCTCAATCATAGGTGGTCAGTTCTATTGCTCTTTTGAGTGTATAAAAGATTTATATTTGTGAAGAAAGATGGACAGTAGAAGCAACAAGGTAGATGATCCAAATGGAAACAAAAGAAAAGGATGACCCAGGAAACGATAGAGTAATGATATCATAACTACAATAGGTAAAGAGTGGGAAATAAAAGCAAAGGATAGGGATAATTAGTTAAAGCTGGAGGGGGCTTATAACCAAAAAGGGGTTACTATACTGGAATAAGAAGAACGAAGATTAATTTAAGATATAGGAAAAAGCATTATATAATGATATAGTCATATAAACTTGTTCTCCTGTTTTATTTTGTTCAGTGGGAATATTTAAAAATTTTCTAACTATGGAGCATATGGCTAATACTGTTATTATTATTATTAAAGGATTTATAATACCTCTCCATCAAGCTCAAGCACCAACCGAAGTACACCGTGGGCGGCGGGATGCTGCGGTCCGAAGTTCAACACCATATTACGCACTTGTTTTGCCGTTGGAGTGATCACACCTAAAAACAATCAGACTATATTAATGACGATGTCATAAACTAACTTTTATATATTTTTTTATAAAGTGCTTCAAACATTAAATACTAAATTAACACCATTATAACATTTGTATACACTTCTGCACAAATGGGAAACAATAGCCATCTACCTTTTTAAACAATTCATTGCTTTTATTAAGAAGCTTTTCCTAAGACAATCACCTTCACGAAATTGTGTATTAAAAATGGGAATCAAATTTCTTATTTAAATAAATCAGGTAAAGTTTGGTTCCCAATATGTCCATTACATTACTATAGCTTCAGTTATATGAATCAGTATATAAAGTATTCTTTATTCTATATTATGATGTAATGTATCCTTATACCAAATTTTATTCAAATTCATACAGCAATTTTTGCATGAAAGAGTAACAAAAACCAACTATACATACATGACAACAACATAATGGAGATATCATGGGCGAAACAGTATACTCTGTTGTGTCCATGGTATTGCTTATGTCTATAGGCGACAGTAATCTTCCAGTTTTTTTCCATGAGGTGGACCAATAGCTCGTTTGCCATTTTAAGTTGCATAAGAAAAAATTACATACTATCACAATTATAATACTAGTAAAAAGTAGGATGTTCTAACTCTTATTTTGAACTCCTTAATTTACCTCTACCTTTAACAGTCAAAATATAATAAAGAGTATTTAAATTTGTATTACAAGCTATTAAAGTATATTATTTACTGTTATATGGAGGGTGTTTGAGTAATGATGTGACTTCATCAGGATACATCACAGCACCCTCAAACTGCTTCACAAATTCAGCATCTGGCATCCATCTATGAGCTTTGCGTTGTGAGCTGGAAATACAAAAAGTTTAATGTAAATGTATTTTAAAAAATATATGCAAATTGATTTTGTATGATAAACATTTTAGTTTATCAATAGAAAACATTTTAAATAATCAGATAGAAATCTTTAAAATTGTATTTGAAAATAGTCAGATAATTGTAATATTGTCGAACTTCAGTATGGTAAAGTTATGAGTGCTCTTAATATCTATGTATCCTGTAATATTTGGAGGTACTCAGTGGCAAATTTACCAGCTGGCTGCTTTGCTGAAGGCTAAGATGGCAGATTTGGTGGGAAAGAAATTGTTAGTAATGGGGTCTAATAGACTCATTTAACTGACCTGCTTTTATCCTCACCTATCATCTCTCGCTGGTGATTCACCAGTGTATATTGACAGTACAGGAAATGTTACCATGCCATCTTCATCCATAATAAAAGGTGGTAAATTTTAGGAGCAGCAAATTTAAGGCCAAAATTTAGTTTCATTTACAAAAAAACATAATATGATTGCAAACTGTGGTACCAAATTGTAGATAATTTAATTGACTACTCACAACAAATGTGTTAATCTGCCAATAAGGTAGGTAAAATAAATAAATGACATGACACTACTCTATGGCCCTTGAGTTTGAAATTATGATAAAAATATATATCTAAATTTAAGATTCTTTAGTCAATTTATTATTCAATGTATCATCATCTTAGTCATTATCTGTCCACTGTTGAACATAGGCTTCCCCTATAGACAGCCAATAAGGAATGGTCCTAAGTCACCTGCATGCAATACATATCCATTTTCCTAAGGGTATTCACTAAAACAGAGTTAACAGGGAAATGTGTCAATTGTGTCATAAAAATGCATCTATTGCCTAGTAATTATACTGTTATTTTATTTAAATAAACAGATTACTAATGTTTATGCCATACCATAACATAATAAACATAAAGGCACGTAGGTAATTTATAATACTGCATCTAGTGAGTTAATTTATGAAATTGGTCTATTCCAAAAGCTTAATTAAGCTAAATGAGATAATCAAGAATATTAATATGCCAACAGTATTATAGTTAGATTATAATTGCCTATCAATAGTAAACAATTCTTGTGTATTTGTTATTTTCGAGTTGGCTACTACTTATAGTAAGTAATATACATCAAATCTACAAACAGACAGAAACTGTTTTATTATAAAGACTTGATCGGATTTTGATAGAGGTATGGTAGAGTTAATTCTAACCAAGTTTGCTTGTTATTTTTATAGGAACTTCCTTCACAATATGTAGCAAATTAAGAATGGGTATTTAAAGAAGAATATAATAGAGATGTAAAACTATTTTGTAAACCTAAATTAGACAAAACAATAACCTACATAATCAAAAAACAAAATTACGTAACGAATTCGAACACGTAAATTAACAAATGAGGAGCAAATAATTAAGTTCAACACTCACTTTACATTGTAAACTGCTGGTAAGTTATTCAGTAAAGACTTGGTCTGACCCAAAGCAGATTTACGGACCAAAATATTTAATAAAGAGGCCATTTTCGGGCCGAAATACTATTTCGACTTTTCGACCAAAATACATGAAGGGCTGGATTAATCAAATGTCAACAATGTCTGTCAAACAAAGATGTCAGTTTGTGTCCTTTCAGTTTCGTTCATAAACTATAATTTAGATAGAATATAATTGATTATATGCAAACTATTTAACCTTACTCCTTTAGATACAAAACATTCAACTTATTTTTAGATTTAAAATTCTCGTATCTCAATGGACGTAGTTGATGAACTAGTTCCATTCTAAAGAATTCGAAAGTATTTTTTAAGCAAATATGTTTATAATCATAAAATTTTTCAAACAGCTTGGATTTATATGACTCTTTCATCAACTACTATAATGAGGCCATAGATGGTCATATACACATATAAAAAGAGGCGCACATTTTTTGTTTCAAAAGAAGCATGCAGAGCTAATGAAATTATGGAATAAATAACACAACCTATAAGACTTCATAACCTAATATTTATTTTGTCCTTTTACTTATAAATTAATAAATATTTTTTGTGAGCTATAAATTTAGAATTATAAATTTTTCAGTTCTATCATTTTTACTTTTATCTAACTCTCAAGTAAAATACGCATAACACAATAATTTAACAGGACCAAGATTTAACATTATGTTAAATAATTGGCTTTTTTAAAATGATGGGCAGAAAATAACACACGTACGAAAATCACTTAATTGTGTACTGTATGGTGAAAACAATTATTCTATGGTAAAAAAAAATCTTGAAAGGAAAAGGAGTGTCAGAAGAAATAAAACCAATATAAGTCATTATAAAATTTTATTACATGAATATGTTTATAATCTATTACTTAACTAAACATACGATAATATAATTATACAATTAATCATTAAAAATAAAATATCTAAGTTTAGGTTACAGACTGCACATGTATAGCTTTATTAAAACCAGAACCAATTTCCCATGTATTAGAACAAAAAAGGTTGGATACATATTAGACTGAAAGAAGAATAAATCCTTATAAATAGATAGGTATATATTCTTGTTTCCTCCTTATAATAATCGTTTGAAATTTGACACATTTAATAAACTATCTTGGTATTACATTAAGTAGATTTTAATACCACTGAGGTGGCAAATACACGGCCCGCTTTATGTTAAGTGATTACTGTAGCCTATGAATTGGTACAATAATGTCATTAAATGAGACTTTGTGTTAATTAATTATTATGTTATTGTTTCAAATTATATATTTTGTATAGTTATAGGTGTAGACAAAATGACTTAGCAACATTATTCATGAAAAATGTATTGTACAATGTAACGTAAGTATTAAAAAACAAATGTCTGAACTTTTCCTTAAAGTTGAAGTACATAAAAATATAGGTACGACATTTACTCATCTTACAGATCAAAGGGAGGCCTCACATCTAAATGGGTAGCGTTTATTAGATCAAGTAGTTAACATTTCAGTGAACATGTTAAATATATTGTTATTAATTACTAGGTACAAATAGTCTTGTGTGGCCCGTCTGAGTCTGAAACTCATAATCTAATATAATGAAATGGGTGAAGGTGGTGGAGGGGATTATTAGTAAACGAGACTAGCATGTATTATATATTATGCTCTACAATAAAAACTATTTAGTTCGGTACTAGATGGCGCTAGTAGCAACAGGTGATTCTGTTAGCCATTGGGAATAATTAAAAACAGTGCTAGTTATATCCAGTTATATAGAGAACGTCTACTATACCTAAACGTTCTACATCACATAGATCAAGGCTACGATTCTATATGTATGTCTTATATTTCTACTAGTCGAGTGTGTCAGAACCATCTATTTGACCCGCTTCTGCTGCCTCTGCCGGTAGATATCGTTGACGGGTGGTGCTACACCCAACTCGTCATCATCCGAGTCCTCGCCGGCTTTTCTTCGACGCGTCTGTCACAAAGTGCATTCTGGATTACTCATATGTTAATACTATATTTATACACACAGAATAACATAATTAAATGAAAAACTCTTTGATGGGATCTTTTTAAAATGGCGGGCAGAAAATACCACACATACCACAGTAAACAGGTCCGTTTATTTTTATTTAATGGATGAAAATGGAAGCTCCTCTCTCCCCGAGCTATCAGTATTTGCTGGCGGGGCATTAGTGAGAGATGATAGATGAGATACTTTCATCCCATGGTCAATTCGTCTATCGTTATAAATTCAACAAGAATTAACCACGATGCTTTCCAGGGGAAATCACGTCGAAATCGACCTGTTTATTTTTTAATGGATAAAAATGAAATAGTAAACCCACTGCACTATATATTGGTGGGTCGTCAGTAAGAGATAATAAGTAAGTATGAAAATAGGTAGGGGAAACCGCGTAGAGGTTGACCTGATAAGATATATTGCTATCAATGGGGCTGTTAGGCCTTATTACTAACAATCCCTTTCTCTATCTGTGGGCTTATTATAAGTTAAATTTTACAATTTTACAAATTAAATATTAGTTCAAAAATCTGTAGTTTGTACAGACTTAAACTTGTCAAGCTTTTAAATGTCTGGAATAAGCACACCATGTCCGGAGTGCATGTGAGTTATTTTTATGAAATACATAAAGACTAAAAGTATACCGCATGGTTGTAAGACAAATATGGTTTTTTTTAACGACTACCACTAACATTTCTTTTGCACGAATAAAAGAAACTATTACCTTATTGGCTACGGTGGTGATTCCCTCATCATCCACAATCCAGTGAACGGAGCGCGCCAAGTCAAACAGCTTCGTGTCGCAGCCATTCTCCTGGGTCGGCGCTGGGGCTGTAAAGATTAATAGTATTGACAAACCACCCGCAACAAACTGTACGTCATCATCATCAGCCTTTATTACTTAGTTGAGTGGTGACCATTTTGGTCGCATAATTTCTAATTATAATAATCATAAGGTATACATTTGTTTGTGTATTTCCTTTTACTTTAAGTTTATAATTGTTTATGTTTTAGTTGTAATTGATATTGATAAATATTTTTAAATAAATATTTTTCTCTCTTTCTTTTGGGCAGAGGGGTTGGCAACCGCAGTTTGGCTCTGGTAAAGTTTTAAGAAGGACAATGTTTTAAGAAAAACTGTACATACAAAGTAACAAATAATTCACCGATCTAGATTATTTGTGGTTGTAGAATTTGAGTTAGTATTGAGTTTATCAATAAAGACATTCAAGAACAAATGGGAAGATTGCTCAACAGTTCCCTAAGCAAAAAAAAGATGATTAGATTTTTTTGGCAACTTTCTATTTGCAAACAGCATTGCATAATTATTATGGGAGTTAAGAAATAGAGCATATCCAGTGAGAAGCCATCTTAAACAAATTACATTTTTAAATGTAGGCTAGTCGAGATATTTTGAGTTTAGACAGGCAGACATTGGATATTTGGATATTTTTATGGCACTTTATGTATGTATCTGTTCATTGATGGAGATTATACGGTTGCCAGATGCGAATTTTATTTTTTATCCAAACGTCAAACATTTTTTCTCTGAATCAAATATGATTTCCAGGACTTTTATCCAATAAAAAAAATTATCGTTTTTCACTACATTTTGCTATGTGCCAGAAAGTGAAAGACGTAAAAAAAAGGATTGTTTCTTCTGTAATTATTGTATTATTCTATTATAATTTACTATAAATATGTACCTTAACACACTTACAAACATTACAAGTACCAAAAAACTATAACTATATAATTTTGCACACACAAAAATTTTCGCTCCAAATTGCGAAAAGCATACCCGATGTGGCAATACTGAGAGACGATTAAAATGAATAAAAGAATTGAAATTTTTGAAATAATAACACTATTTATGCTCGTAAGTGACTATGAATGAAACACTCACGCTTGTCAGGGAGGGAGATCCTGTTGAAGAGCTGCATGAGGCGGTCGACGGCTACGAACGGTCCGCGGAAGCTGGTCGGCGGCGGCATCAGCGTGCACAAATGAGCGCACGCAGGCGGCATCGGGAATGTGCCACCTGTTACATATTATCACACATGTTATTAGAAAGACATATGTTTGTTGGGTGTAAATGTAATTGGATAAAGAATTGTATGTGTAAAAATGTGTAAAAAATAAAAATATATCCTATCTTTTCTAGAAAAGTATATAAATAACGAATTCGTGTGAAAACATTAAATCTGTCAAGTCTTTAATATTTTAAAGACTTTACAGATTTAATGTTTAGACCGATAACTCTAATACCGGTGATATCCAAAAAATTTGTGAAATATACCTATGCTTTTCACGACTTTAAAATTTTTGCTTTAAATAAAATATATGGGTTTCAAAAAATAAGTCGACTACATTAACTATTTATTCTTTGATTACCGACATTTTAAAAAATATTGACCACAGCTTTATATGTTTACGTATTACGTTCATTATAAATGTAACTGTCGACGACGTGTCTGGTTACTCCAATTGGAATTATAGTCGTAAGAATACATTTTTAAACAAAAAAATCGTTATAACAGAATCCTTTACAAAAATGACTTTCAATTTCAAGACACACTATACAGGGGGTATAGCTCAGTGGTAGAGCATACGACTGCAGATCGTAGGGTCCCCAGTTCAAACCTGGGTGCCCCCTTCTATTTATACTTTTTTATATTTAATAAATACTTATTTTTGGCAAATAAAAACTATATTATACCAAAAAAAAAAAAATAACATTTATTAATATATACAGAATCAAAAAAGATTTGACTATGAACGTTTTTTCTGTTATTGAAATTATGTGATTTTTTTTCTCAGACTAATTGAAGATATTAATATAATTTGATTTGATTTTAATAATTACTGAGTTTAGCCATTTGTTGTAAAAACAATTTATCTCTTATAGGTCTCTAATATCTAATTATATAATAACAGGAAATACGTAATAAGGCGAGTTAAATATGGACAATGTAGTAAAAGTTTAATGATTATATACAATAATAAAATTTTAGATAATAAAAAAAAAAATAGCTTGTAATTCTATAACATATTCACGACAAATATAAAAAAATTGTAAAACTGCTCCTATTGGTAATCATATGAAAATATGGCACTATTTTGTTTTTATCAGGAGAAGAAACGACACAAGTTTGATGTACTTGCGTCATCTATTCCCGTTCAGTCTATGGTTATAATGTACATGTTTCTCACCAGATATAGGATGTTCTCCAGGTAGGGGGTTCACTTTCGGTTTGTAAGGTATCATCTGATTAGTGTCCGGCCGAGCAATGTCTTTGTTTGGATCGTTGTCCCTGAGGAGGTAGTAATCAACTGGTAAGTGTTTTTATTTGAACTTCTGCTCATAAGTATTACAAAGATTTGTATAAACTTTTTCTAGTTTTTATAAAAAGATTACAATATAATTTTTCGTATTTTCTTCTCTCTGATTATATCAGTCTTTCGTATACTAATTTTGTTAAAAATTCACACCAATATTATTTACGAAAATCTATAAGAGGACAAGAAAAGACATATAGAAAGAATATAGAGTCAAGATTAAAGAATATGAAATAGGCATTTTTGTAGTATGTATATTTCAAGCACATTTTTATTTATATAATATTTTGGTTTAAAACAATTTCCATCTAGTCTATATTATAGTATCTATCAACACATTAAAAAAAGCATACTTCTGTCCTAATATGACAGCTGCTAATTCTGGCGATATGCCCGCCAAAGGTCCACCAAGCGCCCAAGATTTATTAGACATAGATGCGACCTGAAAGTAAACAAGGGTTATTAGATCGTTTCGATTTACTAGTTGAGCCCGAGCTATAAAACTGTGAAGATATAGGTATATATATGTGTGTGTGGAAAAAATAATTAAATACTAATAAGTAACGAATATATGAAGTTAGTGATAATTCATTATATGTAAAAAAATATAACATTATGCTGCGTTATTAAATGAAAATAAATAAATTGTAAAATTATTTCGTACCTCTGTGTATCCAATTGATTTGAGCTCGGCAATACTGCAGGGGTACAGGTCTAGGAACTTGTATCTGTCCACCAGCTGAGCGGTCTCTTTGCCTTCAAACTCTTTTATCTAAAACAAATTATCGTATCTTAACAATACTTTAAGAAGGAAGGAACCAGAGGGAGACTTTGTACAAAAGTCGATTGCTTGGGTACCTCTGTCCCATTCGTATTTCTACCGTGAAGCAGTTGTGTTTGCATAGCTGTGTTTCGGTTTGAAGGGTGGGATATGGCGTGAATTTACAGGGTACAGAGGAATAACATCTGAGTCCTCAGAAATGGCAACGCATGGGGGGGTATCATGGGCGAAACAGTATGCTCTGTTACGTCCATGGTACTGCTCATGTCTATAGGCGACGGTTACCACTTTCCATCAGGTGGGCCGTCAGCTTGTTTGCCATTCTAAGTTGTATAAAAAAAAAAGGAATATTAAAGAGATAAATTTTAAATGATTAATTTGCTTATCAATGTTAAGTAGTAATTATAAAAATTACAATTTGAAACACGAAAAGTAATATAAAATTTTTATTAAAATTAATAGCCGAGTAGGTCACGGCATAGAATGGGCCACCACTTCCTTTCCCGTGGGTGTGTAAGAGGCGACTAAGGGAGCTTATGGTGGAGGGATAGTCAGTAGCGACTCTCTTCAAACATCACCAAAAACCTAACTGCGGTAGTTAACCTACCTGCCATGTGTGGGATCTACTGGTAAAACTTCCCTTATGGAGGAGGCCTATGTCCAGCAGTGGACAGTTAACGACTGATATGATAATGATGACTCAATATTCCTGCCGAATTTTAAGTATACTTCAACCATAATTCCACTTAGGAAGGCAACGTCGAACCAATATATTAAGTTGAATTACTTTTTTTTTATACCACTGAGGTGGCAAACAAGCATACGGCCTGCAATACCAGAGGTATTACACGTGCGTTGCCGACCCTGAAGAAACCTCTTTTAAAGAACCCCATGCTGTAGGCTCTTAGGAAATCCTCGGCAGGGAGCTCATTCCATAACCTGAGTGTTCGTGGGAGGAAACATCTCTTAAACCGCTCTGTACGTGACCATTGGGCTGTAGGATATGAGGATGAACTCTCTGTCGATGGCGAGCCGTACGATGGTAGAAATTATATTCATTATATTAGCCGTTAACCCTCTACTGCTGAACATAGGCCTCCCTCATGAGGAGGGTTTTGCCACGCTGGGCAGGCGGGTTCGCAACCGCAGTTAAGCTTTGATGATGTTTAAAGACGACGCTGCTGCTCATCCCTCCATCATTAAGTTCCCTTATTCGTCTCTTAGGACACCTATAAGAAAGCAATGATTTTTAAATCAAGATCATCACAATGATCGCTTTATGTCACTTGATGAAATTTTTCTTAGTATGAATGATACTTCTAACCTCTACTGTTGTAGACTTTCATGAGCTGGCCGCTTTTCATTAGGCACACTGTAAGCTTGATTACATTAAAAAAAAAAAAAGTAAAAACAACATGAAATAAAAAAAGTAAAAAGAAAATTTAAAAGGGACTTTACCTTCTCTAGTACAGCTTGCCGTCGTTTCTCTACCTTAACGATAGAAATCAAATCGCCGATGTTGGATTCGAACTCGAGGAACCTGTTCCATATGTCCACTGAACTCTCAGGCTTGAGGCTGCCCGACGAGAGCACTCGCTCGAACAGCACTCGAGTGTTGTTATCCTCTGCACAAGGAAAATATTATGAGGATTTTAATTTCTAACTGAACTGTATTCTCATTTATTACATAAAGAACAGTTTTTACCTGCAATTTCGACTACGTGAATGGAATATATTTATTAATTAAGATAAAAATAATGACCCATCCTAAATATTGTATGCGTGACATATTTTGTAACGACTGGTTGAGCTATTGAGAGGTCAACAGGTAACAAATAAACTCTAACCCACTTTGACTGGGGGGAAAGGGATTGTTAGTAATGGAGACTGAGAATGCCATTGCTAGCAATATACCCAACCAGGTCGATCTCCTCGTGATTCTCCCTGGAAACTATCATAGTTAATTCCTGATGAATTCATCATGATGGGCTAACTGGCCTGTTTTCATTCTCATCTATCACCCTTCACTGGTGCTCCGCCAGCGTATCCCGTTAGCGCAGGCGGGTCACCATTCCATTTTCACCCATCAAAAAAAACTCCATCTATCTCTCTCTTTTACATTAGACATGAGCGAGACAGATATACTCACCGTTCAGATGCGACAAATAATCGATATAGCAGAGCACATACTCCGGTATATGCGAGAACTTCTTGAGTCCAAGTTCAAAGATTCGAAAGGCTATGTTCTTGTCTTTGGAGCAGTAGTACTCCATGAGAGCAGCGGCGACGAACACGTGGTAGCGGGATCTGGGACAAACAAACGTGTAGGGATTACAGCTGTTTCTAAGAGGCCCATACTTATTTTTAAAAGTGTTTTACGAATCTTGATTCTAGGGAGGACACCAGATAATGCTGGGCTGTCCCCCTCCCCAATACGCCTATGTTCTATATAAATACGTCTGTTTTACAGATTGTGTTTCCAATATACTTCAAGTAGCTATAGATATATAGATACTCTTTATTGTTTCCTTGTAAATATAAAGCATTATAAGAGATAATCACACTGAAAACGAATGGGTGGCTTAAATGAAGTATATGCAGCTATAGCAGATGTTCCATCAATAATAGTATATCAAATATGGAAATAGTAGGCGCTATAGATGTTACATTCTTCTAGACCTTTGAGTAGAGGAGAAAAGAAAATGCCGATAGCTATTTGGCGCAAGAAACCATGTGTATAACTAAGATAATACTTCCTAAAATTGTCGTGAGAAAACGTAGACTTAGATCGAACAGCTTCATTTCTTATATCTTTTGTCATTATCGAAATTAAATAACACGAATGTTACAAACCTTACAGACTTGGCATCCCAATAGACAGTAGCTACAGTAGATCTTTTCTATTAATCAATCGACTGGAACCTTACCTAGGGTCCTCCCTGGCCCGTTTGAACACGGTCCGCGCTGACTTGATACCTTCAGCTCTCCTCGCGAACTTCATGTACTGTACGTAAGCCAGCGTTGGATCTATATCTTCCATATCTAAATATCTTGTATACACTTGGTGCACCTGGGAATATAAACAATATTATGTACTGTGCTATATATACCTGCTGCTGTGTATATGCTGTGATCATAAAAGTGAGTTTACATTAATGGATTGACTATAAATTTAGCACTCTTTTTTCTATATTACTTTAACAAATTATTATTTATACAATCAGTACCATAATTCTTCAATTAGTAATACAAAAAGAAGTATATTGCCAATGTCAAGAAATTTAGAAATTCACTAAATAATTTAAGTATGTAATCCAGATTTTAAGGTTAACCTAAGTAGGATAAATTAAAACTTGTTCGAGTGTGTTTAATCGCATTAACAGCCCGTCAAACTAACCTTGTTGTAATGCAGCCTGCTCTCTTCATAGTCGGCGTGCGCGAAATGTAGCAACGTAGATTGCTTGAGCGGCCCGCTCGTCGCCCGCTCGTATACAGCGGCCGCTTCGTCTGAGAATAGTCGTGCCGCATTTGAATCCTGGACAAAACAATTTATAGATGAATAGATAATAGATACTCTTTATTGTTTCCTCCAAAAGATTACAATAGTAAACTTATTATAAATATAAACAATTACAAGAAATAATTATATTTTTTATATGATATGGAGACGCAAATAAACCGATGGATCAGCTGATGGTAACAAAGAATATAGTCTATTTTTATATAACATGAAGGTGCTAAACAAGCGTACAACCCGTCTGATAGTAAACGGTTAGTGTAGCCTCTAAACGCCTGCAACATTTTAAGTGAGTCAGTTCGTTACCTCTTAGCGCCTCAATAGTTAAATCAATCGTTATGAAATTTGGTACACGTGTACTATTTGAGATGGAGAAGGATTGGTTACTTTTTACTCCGATCAATCAACACATAGTTGACCCGCAAACAAAATGGCGGGTAAAAACTAAGAAAGCTTTTTTTGTAAAGGATTCATTCAAAAATTGTTAAATAATTTAAAAATACCTTTTCCTATAAAAACCTACATTATCAATGAGTAAGATTTACTATATGTTGTTTTTAAAATTTTTATTTATCAAGTCGGATAACTAGTAATGGATAAACTGAAAATTTCTTATACAGTATAAAAAATACTTTCACCTATAGAAGGCCACATTAACAGCGAGTGACATGGCTGTTTTTTATTTAAAAACAAAAACCGTGCGAAGCCGGTTCGAGTCGCGAATGTAATATAAACACTTGCATAGCAGATACACAATACAACAACGACTGGCGAACTCACCCCTTTCTCCGTGAGCAGTTTAGCAGAATGATCTAGAAACTGCGCCGCTTGGTGCCATACATCAGGGTGGTGCGCCAGGCACAAGAGGCACTGCTCTATGGCAAACATTACTCGGCGCGCGACTAACGCCGTGTCCTCTGAGCGGAGAGGATTCGAGCGTTCCCATGTTATGTACTTCTTCCACAGTTCCACCTACACATAAACCAATTACAGTATATGATTGAAAAACTGCATAAAAAGTAACATACAGCATAGGTTTCATTATTATTATTACTCGTTTTGATTTTAGGACAAGGAAGATAAAGTGGCAATAGGGCTGCGAGTCTACCATGAAATGAAATTCCGAAATTTCGGGCTCAATTTCGTGTTTATACTAAAATCGGATCAATAAAATGAATTTCGTTCATCATATAAGTCATCATATAATATCATAAAAGTCCAAATATTTTAACATTTTTAATATTTCCAAACGGCATGTATTATGTAATTTTAACATCAAATTTGTATTTCGTTTGGCTCCGAAATTTCGGAAAACACTTCATGGTAGGTCCACTGGTCACATAGTTCGAATTCTTCGTCGACAACCGAGGGAAAGAAAGGTTTTTGAGTAGCGACCACCTACTAAATAGACGACCGACCTCAAATAGATTGTAGGGAGTCAGTGGATTCAGGTCGTTTAGGACCGTACCTTATGACAGTCTGTAGGGGAGGCCTACGTCCAGCAGTGAACAGATAACGGTTGCTATGATAATGATGATTTTGATTTATTTTCATTTTAACAATTTAAATTGTGTTGCCATATACTTTGTATTCTTATAATATATGGAATAATAATAACATTTTCAACTACTTTTTTTTTTATGCAACATAAAATTGCAAACAAACTGAAAACCTATGTCATGGAAAGTGGTAACCGTTACCGAGATTAACAGCACCATGGACATTATATAATAAATTGTAACGCCCATGGTTTTTTTTTAAGAATGATAGTGGAATGGTAACCCCGCCTGCGCTATTCGTATACACTGGCAGGACACCAGTGAGAGATTATAGGTGAGGATGAAGTACAGTTAGTTGGTCCATCGTGACGACTTTTGTATAAATTAACTAAAATAGTTTTCAGGAAAAACCACGTGGAAGTCGACCTGATACGGTATATTGCTGACAATGGGGCTGTTAAACTCCATTACCAACAACCCCTTTCCTTCTAATGCCCATGGCTGAGGATTAAGATACACTGTAGCTATATGAGATTTAAACCTGTTTCATTTCCTCCCGGTCGACAGTGGGCGGAGTCGCCGGCATGTTCCTATTTAGGCCCCGTGTGACAGTCTCCAACTCTTTGGCCACGCGTCGGGCGTTCATATACTCCCTTGAACGCTCCATAGCCATTCGTTCCGCTGTTCATGAAATAATAATACATTTAATTCAAAATTGTAACAAAAAATACTTTGCAATTAATTAGTAACGGATTAATATACTGAATCAATTCCAAATTAATAACAATTATAATTAGTAAGATAAGTAGAATATTTCTAAGTAAATGGACAATTGAAAGATAGAGTAAAATACCTGTTACGAACCGGCTTGATTCTGTTTTATTCTTTAAATATGAAAACTTTTAATAAAATTAGTGTTCTGTTATTTTTTTTTTTACTTTTGAATAAATAAAATATACGTATGTATAAGGTAATAATAACTTTTCTTTATACCACTGAGGTGGCAAACAAGCATACGGCCCACCTGATGTTAACCGATTACCGTAGCCTATAAACGCCTGCAATAACAATTTCATATGTAAAAACTCACCAATAATACTGTTGATACTTTGTTCGAAAGCTATGTAATCCTTCCACAGCGTCTCTATGCCTATTATTGGGGTTATAACGGCCCTTTGGTAGACCTAAGATAAAAAATATTGATTAAAATAAATACGCTAACGATCATAATCCCGACAAAGGTAGTCCATGGCATTACTTTACTGTTGTCAACATTTGATCCATTAAATCTAAGAGCAGGAGGCCAAAAAGATGAAGAAACGTGTCTGTCACAGAACATGTTCATATTTTATATTAGTTTTTTCGGCTACTTTGTACGCGTAGATTTCAGAAGTAGGAAAACATGTTAGACCTTTAGGTATACATATACAACTGAGAAAACCGCATCCAATTTGGCGCAGTAGTTTTTACATGGTACCAGAACAATTATTGTTTTAGCATTTATTTATCTTATTAAGACCCCTCATATTAATTTTTCTTAAATATCTCCTCTGTACAAACATAAACTAATTGCAATTTTATTATATCAGTAAGATTACGCTAAAACTATCTGATATGCGAATATAAACAGAGAACATATAAACCTTTCTGACTGCAGATATTTTCTGATTCTCAGCATAAGAGCCGACAGCGTCCACACTCTTCAGGAATGTGACGTAGTCATTCCATATTGGGTAAGCGTGGATATCTAGCCCTATTTTTTCCAGTGCGAAATCGTATGCTTGAGCCATTTTCTCCCTAGAAAAGGAATAAATTACAAAGGTCTGTAAGATAGTCTGAGAAGATATGCCAATCAGAAATTATATAATTATCAATCTTTCCTTCAGAGATCTAATAAAATCCTATTATTGTTATATCTAAATACAAAAAATGAAAGAACATCTAGATTACACAATGAAAAATTTGTAATTACCTACTATAAATAGCTCCCTCAAAGAAAAATTTCTATAGCGTTTTTTTATGGTTGACAATAGAATGGTAACCCCGCCTGCACTATTGGTATACGCTAGCGGGGTATCAGTGAGAAATGTTGAAAGAGAATGAAAGCAAGTCCATTGAGATGAATTCCACAAGAATTAATTATGACAGTTTTTAGAGAGAACTACGAAGAGGTTGATCTGATAGTTATATATGGTGGTTTATTGCTAACAACTAACCTTTTAGACCCCAATACAAGTACTAATAATCCCTTCACGCCCAGCTTCAATATTTTTTTTTGGGTAATAATGGAATAGTAACTCCGCTAGGTTTTTAGTATGTGTATAATGGGGCCCTGCTAGTGTTAGCAGGATGGATGATAAGTGAGGATGAAAGCAAGTCAGTTGGCCGTTTATAACTAATTCATCAAAAATCAACCGTGATAGTTTCCAAGGGGGACCGCGTCGGAAAGGGCCTGTTAGTAGGGTATATTGCTAGTACCACACTAGTACAAACAATGCCTTTCCCCCAGCTTCAATAGTAGGTACAAACAGAAATGTAAATATTAACTTACTTGTATGTTGGCAACATACACTTGGTCTCCTTTACATAGTTCAGGTAAAGCCGCCACAGTTCGATGTTGAGAATCTTCATGAGACACCGCTGGAACAGCTAGATGACCACACATACAATATTATTATTATATTCTAACGCCTTTATCCCTATGGTAGACATGGGTAACACAGCGCTACACCATGCAATTGCGCCAACTCACTTCATTGCGCTGGATGTGTCGATTCACTCCTTCAAAATGAGTTGGCACACAGCGCAGTACCGGGAAGTTGTTGGAAAACAGTGAAATGGGCTTTGGACTTGGAGAAATTTGGGTAATAGGTGCAGTTGTAAACTGTATAAATGGTATAAATGCAGTAAAATATAAAGGCTTGTTTTTTTTCGGAGTCCAGTTTTAAGCACAGTGTACAGCGATACCAGATATTTTGTGCGTCGCGGCACAATTTTGAGTTAACTATAAGATGTGCTAGCGCAGTGGGGTGACGTCTGAGTTATCGAGTTGACGCAAGAAAAATCGTCGACTTATCCATGTCTACCCTATGGGGTGTGCACAGCACCGACTGCCTCTTACTTCTAAACTGACAAACTTAGGTTGGTTTATCAGTAGTTGCCACGTTTGGCAGGCAGATTGGCAACCACAATTAGCCTTTTGGTGATGTTTTAAGAGGGGCGCTACTCTCCATCACTCGACTATTAAGTTCCCTTAATCGCCTCTTATGACACTCGTGGGAAAGGAAGCGGTGGCCCATTTTTGCCGGAACCAACAAAAATTATTAACGTTAATATAAAACACTAATTTATCTTTTTATCTATCTAACCGTGCGAAGACAAGATAAATAATAAGTGTAGAAATAAAATAGACATTAGAATCAGCAGTTTTTGCTGTGTAATGGTCAAGACATTTTACTTTATATATATAGATATTATTTTTTTTTTTTTTTTTTTTACAACACAGGGGGCAAACGAGCATGCGGCTCACCTGATGGTAAGTGACTACCGCCGCCCATGATCACCCACAACACCAGCGGCATTGCAGGTGTGCTGCCGGCCTTTTAAAAAGGAATATACTCTTTTCTTGAAGGTTATGTTGTCGTATCGGTTCGGAAATACTGCTGCTGGAAGTTGATTCCAAAGAATGGTTGTGCGTGGAAGAAAGTGCCTTGAAAAACGCACGGTGGAAGACCGCCACTCGTCCAGATGATTGGGATGAAACTTTAGTTTGTGGCGGGTTGTAAAAATCAGCAGCAGGTATCAATCCGAACAATTCCTCAGAACACTCCCCATGATAAATTCGGTAGAAGATGCACAGAGATGCAACATCTCTGCGCAGTTTCAATGGGTCAAGTCGGACAGTAAGGCGTTGACTATCGATAATTCGAGCCGCCCGACTTTGAATGCGGTCTAACGGAAGGAGTTGGTACTGTGGCGCTCCTGCCCACAGGTGAGAACAGTATTCCATATGCGGCCTGACTTGGGCTTTATATAATTTCAGGCGGTGTTCTGGCATGAAATATCGTCTCACCCTATTGAGCACTCCTAACTTTTTGGAAGCTATCTTAGCCTTCTCCTCCAGATGACCGCAAAACTGGACGTCGCAAGATATATCAACGCCCAGAATTCCTAGACTTGACTTTTTATCAAGGGAAGTGCCCTGAAAGTGAGGAGATACGACAAACGGCGTCTTTTTTGCGGTAAACGCGCAGACTTGTGTCTTTTATCAATAAATGAAACTTACCTTGCCATATAGGAGGAAAATAATTAATTTGATTATTAGATAAATATTCTAAATTATTTGATAGTTACTATTATACACAATTAAATATAAAAATTAAACACTTACAGGATCATAAATAACGATTTTAATTTGTATTGCTAAGACTATTTATTATAATAATTATTTAATAAATTTTTCATCGATGACGATTTGCTACGTCTCGAGTCAATTCATGACTCTCCTGTTTGCCCGAACGGCAAAAAGAGGGCAAAGGAATGTCAAATTGGACATATGGATAGTAAAATAAATGAAGTATGATGATTAACGAGAGAATAATTGATGTTTTAGGAGTGAATAAAATGAAGAAGAAAGACTGCTCGATTTCCACTCATGAGTAATGACTGAATGTATGATTACTTTTTGGTAGTTTCAAGAATAAGTGGCTTATTCACAAATAGAAAGAGTGAGAGTAAAGATAGATAGAAGAGCAGATATGAAAGACATGGTGGTTTTAAAGAAAAAGCTTGGATAGATTTGTTGGCCACCGATGTCAATAAAAGAATGCAAGGTTACGTAAATAATGTTGAAAAAATTGCAAGAGAAGTATCACATAATGAAAAAAAAAAGTTAAAGAAGTAGTGACGAAAAAAAACAAAAAAGGAATTGTAAGGAACCAAAAGCTATTTTAGCATTTAATTCGAACAGCTAGAGGTAAAAAGGGAGATTCAAAAGTGGGTGTGATAACGTATGCAGATGGTAATATAATCAGAGAGCAAATGATGAGCAAGGAAGTTGATAGTAAAAATAATATGAATATGGATGAAGTAATAAAAGCAATGAAGACAGTGAACGTTAGTAAAGCAGAATTTCGATAGACTATCTACTGGGATGTTTAAAAAAGGTTGAGATATCATTGTAAGCCTGCTGTAATTGTTGTATAATAAATTTTGGCGGTCTAGTTGTGTATTAGGTGACTAGGACAAAGACTTTAATAGGCCACTACATAAAAGTCGCAAGCACAGTAGGAGAGCAAAAATTTCCGTGAAATAAATCTTTTCAATAGGCAATTTGTATGCTAGGATTTCGATTAAGAGTGATGAACGAAACGGAGAGTGAAATTTGGGATGTGCAATCAGGATTTTGAAAGTGTATGAGCGAAGGGGGATTAAATGTCGCGAAAACCAAGCACCTCATCGGCGCCCCTCTAGCGCGCCATTTATTATAAATATTTAGTATATTTAAAAATATATACTAAACATATTCAATGACAATTGTAAAAAAAAATGAAATTAATAGTCTTCGAAATTGCCAATAATATCGTTATACATAGTTCAAAGATAGCAATAAATTAAATTCAATATTTACTACTGAAATTAATTGCTAACGAATTTAATCTGTTATCTGTCATGGTCGTGCGACTATAATTTTTCACTCTCTTTGAACAGGAAAAACTCCGCACATCATCGCAATTGCTGACTGCCATTGTTATGCATATTTTTAAGGCTATGCCAATTTTATATTGTTTAAGTAGGTATTGCACAATTTTGTTCTTTTTTTCTTTATTTACAATTTGCCTAAACACTTGCTTAGTTTGTTTTAGAGATAATTCGACTCTGGGTATGGTATGTACGGATTAAGTCTTTTCCTTTGTTGCATAGCAGAGAAATCCTTAGCTCAATATCAAGCTTTTTTGTGCCTTCGTTGACTTTAAAAGGCTTATAACAGAATGGACAGAAATGACAAACACTGACTATGTATGGGGTGGGCAGCCACTTGATATGGGCATTCAAACTCTTATATAAGGATTAGTATATTCGAATAATAAGAGAGTAAATATTCTGTTACAGGCATTCGAATAAGATAGGATCTATACAATCTGGTTTGGCTTTCAACGTGGTGTACAACAAAGCTGTGTAGCATCTCTTTGGCTGTTCAATCTTTTCATGGACAGTTGCTAGACCGATTTGAAAGAGTCTGATTGCGGATTCCGAATGATGAGTGTAAAAATCTCGTGTACTGAGTAAAGCTTGCCTTGCCATAATTCAGGAGGAACTGACACCAACAGAAAGCAGGATAAAGGCTGTAGAGATGAGAGCTCGGAAAGATGTGTGGTATTACATTAAAAGATAGAGTGAAAAATAATGTGATTAGAGAAAAGCGTGGACTGAAAGGTGATGTAGTGACAACAAAAATTCCTTGTTCTTACAGTGACAAAGATTGAAATGTTGCGTTAGTTTGGTTATTTTGAAAGGATGGATGAAAAATAATTACAAAAGAGATTTATCTAGCACGAATGAATGGAGATGTCAATAAGTGCCTTCTAAACGGACATATGTCGACTAAATAGGAGACATGCTGAAGTAGAGCCAAATTAGCCGGGAGCGTGTATGAAAAGATTGATAAATGTGGAGGAAATAATAGAGGTCCGTTTGAATCGAAGCATTTGGCATTACATTGTTTCTGTCTGCCCCAATGGGAGACAGGTGTAGCAGATATGTATGTAATTATTGATTTGGGGTATATATTAATAACTTAGTAATGTATTACTTCGTCTACTAAAATAACAATATTAAAGTAGATGGATGTAGGTAATAAAGGAAAACTAACTTATTATAATTAGATTGTCTTTTAATTGGGAGGAGTCAAGAATTGGTGTGCATGTATGAGATAAGAAAATTTTTATGGCTTTTGGCACTCGATTCTTTTATACGCTACGATTTGATGTGAAAATAGAGGTAAATTTTTAATTATATAGTAAATTCAGATTTTGAAATGAAGGTCTAATTTGGCTCTAGATTTTACAGTTGTTCTATTACTACAAAAAAAGTTTAAAACACTGCCTATTTAAACCATGTTTAATAAACTTGGCATAGTTGTTTAACATTATTTAGTAAATTTAATAATTTTTTAAATATATATATATAACAAAAATAGATTATTTTAAAATTCTAGTTTAGTATGATTCACTGATAGTTGTAGCATGATGTAAAATGTGTACACTGTACTGAATTTTTGGGTATAGCTCTACAGTACGAATTGTAAAGAAAGTGAAGGGGGTGGGGGGTGGACATTAATGAGAACACTATTTTAATTATTCAGATAAACTGATTTAATTGTCATCATTGCCAGTGGGATAGTGAAAGGAGTACGTGTATCTCTACTTTCTTGGTTTTTTTTTATAAATAGGATATCTTGATCATCCTTGTAAAAAAATTTCTTAAATAAAAATAAAGAAATATTGTGACAAATGTTATAAATTGTGACTTTATAGCCAAACTACACAAGACAGGGATATGTATGTAGGGTTGAAATACATGTCAAAAGTGATCTTTTTATGGCAACATTATCATAAATTTCTAAGATTTAAACATCAATATAAAAAACCAGATGTTAATTTCTATATTTGCTGCCTGCCAAAAATCACCTCCAACATGTCTGAACACAGACACCCTATCCGAAAAAAAAGATAAAGTTTCATATTGTCTCATTTATTTCATCTTACATCTAAATGTACATAGATTCATAGAATCTGTTAATACCTTCTTGTCACATTGACAAGCTTATTTTAATTATTTTTTTTTAATATCACAGATGTTACTTACAACTAAATAACTTACGATGTTACATACTAACCTTTTCTACTTTTTCAAATAGTCTTGCTTTCATCTGAAACAATAGAAACAATTTATAATTATTATTTTTAAAACAATTTCTCTTCATTTTTTTATATCTATGTATGTGTATAATGGGAATTTTATGTACTTGCTATGTATATTGTTTCCAACAATTATGTCAACTTCATTTGGATGTCACCCTGAAGGTAAGTATGGTGCCTTACATCACAGTATCACATTGTAAATATAATTTAATATAGCAAGTTCATAAAATTACCATTAAATATATCGACAATTAATAAATATGAGAATTTAATTAAATGTATTTTATGAGAGACAGCTTTTCAGCATGTCTGTGACTATCAAATTAGAATATATGCTTTCTTATAAGAAAGAAAAAAAGTAGTACAGTGTTATACTAACCTCCTGTTCAATGTAGATTTTCCAGTAACGACCTGTAGTAGGAAAAGCTGTAATAAGCTTCTCATACATTGAGCGCACGTCATTTATATGCCTTGTCTGGGCTTCTCTAATAAGCAAAGACCATGAATCTACATCATAAATGTTTGCCTCAACAGCACGTTGGGCACGACTCAGCCTTTCATTTCCCCAGTCCTGAAATTTCAAATGTATATACTTATTATTATATAACTGAAACCTAATCTCTAACAGGTGGAGGGAAAGGATTGTTAGTAATGGGGAGGTCAGCCCCTATTGCTATTCTATCCTATTGGGTCGACTTCCACTCAGTTCCCCATGGAAACTATAGTGACTCATTTATCGTTGAATTAGTCATGATGGACTAACTGTCCTACCTTTTTATCCTCGCCAATCATCCCTCACTAGTGTATACCGATAACACAGGCAGGGTTACAATTTCATTATCATCCATTAAAAAAAGGAAACTAACAGATGCCTTATAATGGGTATCATGAGAGAAAAGACAAATTATATATTTATTTCATAGCTTAATATTCTATTCAAATGTTATTGGCCAACAACTAATCTTTTTCTAAACTTATATCTAACCTAAAACTATAATTTTATTTTATTTGGTAGTTTGTATTCACACAAAATCATACTGTGAAATTGTAATTTTGCTTTAAAACAGCGATAGCCGAGTGATTTAGCTTCTTCTTTGATAAAAATGCATTGTAAATTAGGCGGCAAAATTATAAAAATAACTAGATATTCAAAATATTTAAAGTTCTGTTCACTTGCATACAATTTGTCCTTTATTCTTTAATATGAAGTTAAAAAAACAGGGACCATGTTCGTCGTGGGAATAAATTTATAGGAAATATAGAATAATATTAATGTAGTTATCACGTATCTAAAAAATAAATATCAAGCTAAGCGCTTATAAATACCACGCATTGTGGGGAGTTAGGATTACACTGTAGATATTTTAGCGTATTTAACTAAAACTGTACTATCTAAGATGGTTTTAATATCTATTTACAACTATGAAACTGAAATAAAAACGAGAAATAAAAGTGTACTCACAATTTCAACATTTTCATCGGTATTATCCATTTTAGTAAGGCGGTGTTTTGTTTGCAGGTTATGTTAATATCACTTATCTCAGAAAGTGAATCGAATTACAATAACACAATACATTACATTAAGTATCAATTAATATTGTAATATTTATGTTGTTTAAAAAAAAGTCACATTTAGACACATAGAAAAGAATAGGTACGAAGGAAATTTAAAAAAGCAACGAGAATGACGTCAAAAGCAAGCAATAGACGGCGACGCATAGTCACAGATGAAAAAGACCATAGATGGGTGACTAGTGTTGCTCACTCAGTTTTGATTTTCGGGCCATATTAAATGAAAGTTATACACATATAATAAAATCAGAATATAAGTAAAGGAATAATTAAAATAAAGTGAACTGTGGGTTGGTGGATATCCATATGGCTGTTAAAAAAAAAACGATGGATGATGAAATGTCACATGACGAAAGTTGATCCCCTTGAGGAACCCTATCCGATGGGCGCATAGAGAAGGGATTAATTCGACATAGAAAGTCGTCAAAATTTTTCTAAATCCCAAAATTGTTTGTATCGCGTTGTGCGAAAGGATGTTACATGACCTAAGTTGATCATATAAACGCAGGGTTATTGTAACATCGAAAAGTTAAAAGGAGTGAATTAGGATAAAAGCTAGGCAAATTACAAATGGAGTAATTAACAACACTGAAGCTGACGCGAAGTGCAATGTTAACAATTGAGTTCTAGGATTACGGGCGAATACACTGTTTATTTTACACAGAGTAAAATATTGTATCGATTGTTAGCACTAAAATTTTCAGTTTATAATCGAAGAAAATCTACAAAACAGAAGAGAAAATAAAACTGCTAAGTTCTAACATTTGATTTATTTCTTATAATTAAACATCTTCTTTCTCCATTATTTCTGGTAGATCTCTGTCAGTTTCTTGATCAAAGTAATCTCCTGGAATTACGTAATCATCTGGAGGTCGCATGGGGCCATACATTCTTTTTCTTTCATTATTATCGTCTGTTACACTCTTACTGCTATCATTCGTCGTCTCACTCACAGTTACTTTTGTAACATTTTCTGACATTTCACTTTTTTTTTCCGATTGTTTTACTTCCACCTCTTCATCAGAATCCATTTCTTCAACAAATTCTGTTTCTTCTTTTTTTACTTCCTGTCTTATTTTTGGACGTTTTTCGTTATCTTCTTTTAATTTTATTCTGTAATTAAAAGAATAAAAATTAATAATTAATATAATAATATTGAGGGTTTCCCAGAGACTACAGTATGAGGTTCTGCAAAAAGTGTGTATTAAGGATTCTTTAGGGTCGACAACACACACGTTACACCCTGAGTGTTACAGGTGTCTATAGCCTTACCTTGCCTTGAATATTACAATTGATATTTTATTTAAAAGACTGTTTAATAACTTCAATATTTTATAATTATTAATGATAATTTACATAAATTAACCAATTCTAAAAAAGAGAATGTGCCCAATTCTACTTTTTTTTGGTTACGTTGATTGTGATCTAAGTTTTAATAAAAAAAAATTTAGGTGTTTTCTTTTCAATAACAATAATTACTGTGCATAGTTTAAAACTATAAGATTGATGTTTTTTCATTAGATTTTTTATATATGATGTACATAACCAGGATTAATAAATACTGAAAAATCTCCTTCAAATTAAATTAATTACCATCTAGTTTGATTTTAAGCAAAGCTTGTAGTAAGGGCACTTATTAAACAATTCATAAAAGTGTTTGAATTACATTTTTATATATATATATATATATATATATATATATATATATATATATATATATATATATATATATAGTATAAAACTTACATGTTCTTACATGTAAGCTAACTCACCTCTTGCCATAGATAACGGAGTTACTGCCGACTTTAACAGCCATTTTGCTGTCCTTCTTTAACAATGGCGGCATATGCGCCGGCCGTGCGAGCTCCGCCAAACGGTGCATTTTCGTAAGCTCTGCTTTCAATTTTTGTATGTTCATCTATACAAACATATGTAAATTAATTCAATATTTTACCAATATAGATTAAATTAAATCTTATTCTAAGGGACATATAATTAAAGAGTTTATTTTGAAACAGATTATGTTTTTTTAATGTGTTAGTTTATTTTATGCTTTTTGTGTTTTTGTTTCGTTATTTTTTTTATGTCGGTTTCTTTTTTAAATTTAATGTCTAACTGAACTATGCTATTAAAATAGAAAACGATAACACTGAAAATTACTGGTTTAAAGCTTATCTATCATTTAATCAAATGAACTGTTAAATATTCTGACGCATCACATGGAATGTTTAAGATCAATATAAAATAGAAATGGTAATAACAATACTGTAGTTTGTTTTAATATAATCAATAAAACAAATAATTGTAATGTAATAACTGCCAGTTTAACATACATGTAATTTGGTCAAGAAAGCTCAACTAGTTTTGGGAGCATTGGGTGCCTTACTCTTGAGAGGATATGGTACAATCTTTAGTTATTACATTAAAATATAATGTGTACTTATGAAACTTAGGAATAAAACGAATAGTTGACCTGATTATAGAAGAAAATTTAATATGATCATAGAATATCATAGAAGAAGATCATAGAAGATATCAGAGTATCTAATATTTTGTGTGTATTTAATATTAATTGAATGAATGTTCCAATTTTTTATTAATTTCATTTACAAACTGTTTCTGTATGTTTCAAAAAACCTTTACCTTAAAGTCTATTAAAATAGACTAAAGACTAAACATATCTTAGTTTATAAGAGATGGAGATTAATTCCATTTACCTGAGTTTTTCAACGTTCCAACCAGGTTACACCACTCGCGATCATGAGTAGACCATGCAGTGCGAAAGTCTAAAAGTTAATATAACATACCTTGGCGTTTGAAATATCGGCTCTCTGTGCAACAGTGGGTCCTTGTTTTAGGGAGCTCATGAATGCATCGAGGGCGTCCGCTTCGCCGTCTGTCTGTTGCACGGGTTTAGAGGAGGCGCGGAGACGCTCTAGTCTGACTTCCTCTGCCGCTATCTTCTCTTCTGTTTCTTTTATTTGTTTAAGCTGTAAAAAATATGTAGTGTTACTTTTATGTGTTTATGGTTTATGCATTTACAGTGCAGATTAAATAAAAACTAAAAAGTTGTAATTGTTGGTTTTGTAGAACTTTAAACATTAAAGTCTAAAGATTAATAACATCTGTTGAGTTTCTTATAGTTCCATACAAATATATATATATATATATATATATATATATATATATATATATATATATATATATATATATATATATATATATATATATACCTGCTTTTTATTGAAGTTGTTTAAACATACTTGTAGTACCTCTCGAAATTTTCACCATTCAAGGTATTTTCTGATGGCAAAACGGGTCAGATATACATACATTTAATTAATTTGTGTATTACACCAATATGAGAGAGTATAAATACTCACCAAGTCATCATATGTGAGTGGTTTATCTTTCTTCTTGTCAATGGCGCCATGTTTCTCCATTCGCAACTTCCTTTTGCGTTCAACACTGCCAGTGCGATCGAGGAACGTATCGTCATCGGAGTCGTAATAGTCGTCTGCGCTCCAATCACGCTCCTTACGCTTGCGAGATTCTGTTTGGTATACGGTAAAAAAGAAGTTAAGAGGTTTACTTAGCTAAAAATCGTAGTTACGACCTATTTTTAAATTTTGTTAATATTAAATGGCAATACAAAAACTTTTAGCAGTCGAATATTAATTACTACAAATACGAGTTCCTATTTTTAGTGCATATTGTATATATCTTTTTTTTTAATGAGTGATAATGGAATGGTAAACCCGCCCGCGCTATCAGTATACATTGGCGGGGCACCAGTGAAAGATGATAGATGAGGATGAAGTAGGTCAGTTAGGCCAACGTGACGAATTCAACAAGAATTGTTCACGGTGGTTTCCAGGGGGAACCACGTGGAGATTGACTTAATAGGGTATATTGTTAGCAATGGGGCTAACAAACTCCATTGCTAACATTCCCTTTTCCCCCCATATTGTATATGTAACTATAGAATAGACACGCGTGTACAAAGGCGCTGGTTGCAACTAGCTGAATTTTAAATACAAACTTTTATATTTATATTAGAAAATAAATAGTGACAACCTTAGCCTATAGACATTCCATAATACGCTGTAATGCCTATAATACCCTTCATGCATTGCCATTCTTGAAGACCAATATACTACGCTGGGAACATTATAATTATGGGGATTAACAGCCCCATTGAAAAATATCAAGGACTCTATCAGGGACCCCCCACTTTCATAACTCAGTGGTGTTTCACCAGCATATAACGATAGCCAGGTGGGGTGGGGTTACTATTTCATCTGACTGAGTAATTAGATTTACTCACCATGTTTGGACTGCCTCAGCAGACCAGCCCGGTCGAGTATCCTACACGCCTCCAGTGCGCACGCGATCACAGCTTCCTTCTTCTTGCCACGGTGCATCACCTCAGCGATAACTGGATTGCCGCGAGCGTCATCTATTGGTAATTCCACTCTGCAAATATAATTTACTAGCTTTTACTAAAGTTTGTGATATGTTTACAGAGACGGGGATAAGGAACTTAAGTAATTACAATTATATATGTGCCTACATTACTCCTTGATAATGTAGTTATCTATAGATGGTTTTTTTTAATCTGTTGAATAGTTTTAAATTTATCCTTTACAAACCAACAATTTTTTTCTTTGTATAATATTAGTATAGACGTATAGATTAGTAAATAAGATTACTTATTTGCTTAAGAGAAGTCAGAACTGGCTGTAACAAGGAATCGGTACAGCAAATGTATTCTATCATGATTATATCATGAGTTCTACACATTATATCAAGAATTTGTACAAAAATAAAAAAAAAGGTTGAATGGTTTGCGCGTGTGTGAAGGGAAATAATAACAAGGTGTCACTATAAATTTTGTATGTACTTGTTGGCCCGGGAAACATTATTTTGCACTCTACCACGCTAGCTTTTCAGTCAATTTTTTACTATCAAGACATAAAATATCGTATTTAAATATTTTAAGTTGGAATAAACAATATATTTATAAAATTTAATTAAAATCTTGCGAGTAGTTACGGAGATATGCATGAATGAACATTTTGACGCGTAATTTCTTTACATTAAGCTATTTACTTGTGCGACTATACGAGTACCTGCACATGAACTGTCCAATGCCTCTCTCTTGACAGTCATATTTTAGCTCGAGCCCTTCTCTCTCGAAGTAGCCCCTGAGCGTTTTCTTAGGGTCATCAAGATACAACTCCTCATTGGCTGTGACGGCATAAGGATTGTCAGCTAAGTCTGGTTCTTCTTCTGCATCCTCACCTTTGAAACAGAAAATTTTATTAGTTGCTGTAATAATTAATCATTCTAGAATTCTCGATTAGTGTTCCAAGGTATTGTTAAAATAATTTGGAAATTATAAATATTAGTACATTGACAGAAATAAGGAATGCAGAGACAATAATGATAGCATTACAATTTAATTTCAACAATTAATTATTAGATTATATAGATATTCCAGTACTAATGATAATTAAATCATCTGCAATTCTACTATAAAAACCTAGTGACATTACTATCCTTACCCATTCCCCAGTCAATTCCCTGTTCATCTCTTTTCCTCTCTTCTTCGAGTCTGTCTTTCTCCTTTTGTTCTATTGCCGCCTGTATCATTCTATCTCTCTCCAACTTCATTATTTCTGCTCTCTTTTTTATTTCCGTAACTGATAATTCTGATTCACCTTCACAGTCAAAGTCCGGACCCTATAATTATTTTTTAAGAATAAATAACTGTTCTACTCTTATATGTAAAATCTAAGATACCAAAGAAGTCACCAATACAAGGGTGGACTTTTAAAAAATAAAATATAAAATAATTTTTTTATTATATTCTTTAATTATATTAATGTAACATATAAAAAAAATAACAAAAAAAGGCATAGTTAATTGACCTTTTAGTACTAGTTTTTTACTAAATAAAAGATTCAATTTACCAATACAATATAAGATCGTGTGCTATTTCCAAACTTGATCTGGTGTCCCACTCGTACCCTTGTATAGTGACTGGGCTTTAGTCTATCCTTGTTCAAGAAAGTTCCATGTGTGCTGCCTAGGTCGTATAAATACCATCCTGATGGTGGTTCACCATCTTCTGCGAACGCTTTATATTGTAGGACTGCATGATGTCTGTAAGTATTTAGAAGTGATTTAGTATAAAATTGTCTACTCTTCCAAGATATATGAAAAATCTGTTTTTATAATATTTAAAATATTACATTTATAATTGTAATTTAAGTAGGTTTTATTAAGTTGTATCTTTAGCTGTACAATTTTTATCCTCAAATATTCTATGTTTTTTTTTTCCAATTTCTCAAAGGTTAACTGTAACAGATCCCTCTATGAGATAAGTTCACAGTTGTATATTAAATCTTTTTTGTGTAGTGTAATGTAAATTATTAATAATTTTTATTATAGCTTAAAGTACACAATAACAAATTTCAATAGCAAACATATTGACACCTACCACCACCTACCATATATTTTCTTATCAGGAAAAAAGTATCTCTCGAGTTGGAGTAAACAATACAAATTTTCATAATATATAAATTGAAATAGTTTTACTGAGCCATTTTAGAAATTAGCATTAATGAACATTATGGCAGGAGATTTTTATATAGGTACATATGAAGATACAAGGCATATACATACAGTACAGATCATGAGTTGTATTCTAATTGATCAAATCTTGATGAACAGTATGAGGCATATTTTCAATTAAAAGAAAATATAATAACTTATTTAGACAACTCCAATTCTTCATTCAGTACACTTTACAAATTATAAACAAAGGAGGAAATATCATAATCATTTATAATTGTGTACATAAAAAATTTAATTCTTCAATCAGTTGATAACACCATTTTAATCAGATTACAGTTGGATTAAGTGTACTAAAAAGATAACAAAAAAAAAATTTTGTTCTTAACAAATACATAAAACATTAAATACATCAAAAACTTAAATTGATGCCAAATATCAACATTGATTTAATATAATGGTATGTGATATTCTACATATTTTTATCTTTATAACATACTTTTTATATCTTTCCACCCCTAGAATCTGATTAGTGTTGTTATCATATTTTTTCTGGATCCTACTGCAAATAGAATTCTAAAGACCTTCCTTATTTAACTTATTAACTATTTTTCTTAATTTAAAAACAATATTTGTATCTACAAGTACTTTTATTTCTAATGTTCAATGACTTGATCAGCATGCTATGATAATATCTCAACCTATAAATAGGAACTGTCTTTTTTTAAATATTAGCACTTTAAATATTACGCTGCAAGCAAGTGGGATGTTACGTTATGCATTGGAAATACTTAAGACCAACGAAAGTCATATATAGTTTTACAGTTCAATGTACCTTGATATGGTAGGATTAGCCATAACAATATCACAGTTGGCTAGCCTTCCAAACACATAATAAGCTTTTTTTGTCAGTTCAATTTTTTCTACAATAACCCCAGATTTTAATACTTCTAAAGCATAATCTGAACCTGTAACAAAATTATTATGATCAGTTTAAATAAACAATAGAACAAACATTAGCATAATAAATTCAATGGGCTTTAATAATATTCCTACAATCTATCTAGCTATTGAAGTAATAGCCTTCATCATTAAAAACTTGTTTAGTTCAAATTAGGTAGAATGAAAACAACAAAAGTAGCAATTTGTAAAGAGTATTTATAAAGTAATAATATATTAATGAGCAAAGTTTCTTAAAGAAAACTACAATGTTAAAATAGGCAGATCAAAAACTATTTAAAATTTAATTTGAAAGAAGTCAAATAAACTTAAGTAAATGGTAAAAATTAATTTAAAAAATCCAAAGGATAAGAAATAGTTGTATGTTAAAATGTCATAAGGACTAGAGTTCACATATAAATACAAGATTTGTTTACTTATTATTGACTAGAACACTTACCATCAGGACATAAACCTGACCATTTTGGTTCTTTATACGGTATCACTGTAGACATTTCCTTTAGTAACATAGCTGGAGGCAAGTTACTTTTAACATTAGCTTCTGTGATATTCTCTGATGAGTTTTCTCCTTTTTTCTCCTCAACAAATTTTTCAGATTCATTTTTAGCCTTTTTAGGCAATTTACCAATTCGTCCTATTAGAACAGGCTTTTTAAATTCTGTTTGTGATTCATTTTTTGACGACTCTTCTGATTTATTTTCTTCCATTTTTGATTATTTATTGCAGCAAATAAATAACTGTGTAGTAAATTAATGTACTGAAAATACACCCTAAAATTTCAAGAAAAGTAAAGAGTTTACAGTAAATTTAAGACTAGGATTTATTGAAATTAATTAATAGAAATTTTGTGTAATTCAGGATTGTATATTTTGATTGGATTGAGAACTTTGGGAAATGTCATTAATGACTGTGACACTTCAAACAATTCATTCAATTGACTGATCCACTGTTCAGTAAATAAATTTTAGTTATATGTAATAAAATCACGATGTATTAAATTAAAACTGAATCCAGACAAAATGAATAATAACTAAAAGATTTTTCATAAATTAGTAATCCTCGTAAACATGTTATCAACTAATAACTTGCAATATAACCCGGTTGAAACAATTTGCTTTATAAAATTATTGTTGTTTCTTAACCTGCAGATTTCTAATAAAACATAATATATAAAAACTTAAATAATCCTTTGACTATTTATTTACACAAATTTTGATGCACCTTATTTCTAAACGATAACTATCACTCATTCGTTATGAATGACGACTGATTTGAAATGAACGAAATTGTTGCAACTTCACGATAAAATCAATCAATTATTTTTTTTTATAAATTTCATAAGATTGCCAACCGATTGAGGGTGTCACTTCTGTAGACGCTCGTATTTTTAACTTAATTTGCTCAAATTATTTCTGTCTTATGTTGTGCATATGTATTTTAATTATATTGAAAGCCGTACATTGAATGTTAATGTGGCAGTGACTTTTTTGTGTTAAAATCGTCCCGGAATATGCTTGGACAAGTGACCCATGTTATTTACATATTACCGTGATTTCTTATCATAATAATACCTGTGTGTAGTGAATTCGTTGCAGCGCTGGCCTTAGGAAATGCATAATAACATATGGTAAGTGCCTTTTTTTTTAAATGGAATGCAATTATTTTTATTGACTTATTGTGTACCTACCATGCTCGAATATTATAGGTAGCCTGAGACAATATCATTAGATTACTATCGCTCTGTTGCAGCAGAACCGGTGAAAGTTTTTACCAAAATCATCTTTGTATTATGAAGCATTTGTTTGGTTTAATTATGAAGATGGGATAATTATATGAAGAAGGGAGACTTAGCTGTCTTAAGATTTCGATGATCTTAGTTACGATTTTTTTAAGTCTGGTATAAACTTGTTTCATTTCCGAAAATAAATGTTATTTATCTGAGAAGATTTCTGTAAGGTAGATTATGTGATTGGAGTTAAGTAATTTAAAACATTTAATAAAATTAATAAAAAAAAAAAAAAGATTTCGTCTAATTGAATTCTTTAATATATTATTACTTTCAGCAATTATTAAGAGTCATTTTTGTATTGCAATAACCAGTTTTATTGAAGGTCTGACAACTTTTCCTGTCATAACTTTAGGTATTATTTATAAAGTTCATAACTATAGTTTCCTTGTTATTCATGCATGATATATTTAAATTAACACAATATAGGCTCAATTTAGGGATTTTATCTAAACTGAGGATTTTATTAAATCTTCTATCATATTATTTTACTTATAGAAATCTTTCTAATAATTTAACTAGTGTTCTCTCACTTAGTTTCAATTTGTGAAATTAACTGAAAAAAAGGACAAAACACTTAAATAGCTAAAATAGATTTATGAAATATTTGAAGGTTTCGCAAATCATTTAAAATTTTGATCCACAAAAATAAAAACTGTCAGTTGCGAGTTAACTTAAACATGACATAAACTGAGAGTGTTATATATAAATATGAAATAAAAATATCTTCATTACATTTTTCATGTGAAATAAATATCTTTTTATGCCCTAATTAAAAAGAATTTTGTTAGGCCCAAGCCTAATTGTAGTAAAAAAAAGCTGTAACTAAGTTTGTTGTCATTTTATTTTTCTTGTTATATTCACATATACCCTTATTAATTGTAATAATTTTAGATATTTTGCTTCAGATACTACCAAGATATAATGCTGTGATAAATGGATGAATAGATAGACAAAGTTGCACCATGAGGGTTCCTTTATACCCTTTAGGTACATAACCTATACCATATAAAAGCATGACAGCAACTTCAATTAAGTCAAAACCATAATATAAGACCAACCATCCCGATTTAAAAAATAAACTACTAAATTGTTACATTTTCTATGAAACCAATCTATATTTTAGATATAATAAAAATTTTCAAAGTGGTTTATTAATTATGGGCTTTAGAGCTAAAAAATATTAATAAAATTGCAAATTGTCTGATGATAGTGGCAGGCTTATTTTTTTTTTTTATATAATTTAGAATGGCAAACAAGCTGATGGCCCACCTGATGGAAAGTGGTAATCGTCGCCTATAGACATGAGCAGTACCATGGACATAATAGAGTATACTGTTTTGCTTATGACATCCCCATGCATTGTCATTCTTGAGGTTATTCCTCTGTACCCTGTAAATTCACACTATATCCCACCCTTCAAACCGAAACACAGCCATGCAAACACAACTGCCTTACGGTTGAAACACGAATGGGACAGTGGTACCCAAGCAAACGATTTTTGAATATAGTCTCCCTCTGGTACAACTCGCCCTCTGCTACATAGGATTCTACGATATTCTGCAAAATGTAGGTGTGATTAGTAGATAGATTCATGTCATTTTATTGCTTCTCAGCCGTTTCAATAAGATCAAAGTGTAATATCTTGTCACTGTGTGGAAAGGAATTGTTAATAATGGACTCTACCTAATAGCTTTCTTGATATCAACATACCTTATCAGGTTGACCTTGATGCGGTTCCTAATACATGGTTGGATTTTATCTAGCTTTCATCCTTACCTGTCACCTTTCTGGTGCCCTGCCACCAGCTTATACTGGTAGTGAAGGTGAGGCCATTGCCTTTTAAAAAAAAAGTATTACGTCACTGTAATGACATAGTCTACGTACATCGTAATTAGCCCTAAGCCCTAATATGTAAAAAAAAATTAATTAAATAAACAACTGAATACAATAAATGCGTCATCCTAAAGTAAATATTATTGCGTCACATTTTATACCTATAAATAGATAACAGGCCACTTTCTTATCAGTCAAAGCTGACTATCATATCAGGTTAATTTACATTACATTTTTTACATTTAGTTCCGGCAATTACACCCATACTTTATTAAAATTTATAATCCCATTAATGATAATAATAAATGTGAAAGTTTGTAATAATATTTAGATGTTTATTACGCATTTATGTATAAACAGTAAATGGCGTTGAATTAAATTTAATACACAAATATATATACAATATCCTAAGTAACTTTTTATCCTAAATCACGTGTGGGACGCCACAGTATACATCCAGTTGGCAATAAATCTTTCAATAATAATACTAGTTTGACCTTGTCAATCTAGACAATGACTGTATATGGAAGATATTTAAGAAAAAATAATTAATAAGAAGATCAATAGATGTCAAAACAATAATGATTAGAAATTTGGCAGTTTGTATGTTTGTTCCAGTATTACTACTGTTTTCACTATTATGTTTCTGAGTGTTTTAACTTAAAATCTGATGTTTCTTTTATCTTGATATGCTGTTTAAAAGTGGGTACTTCCTAAAAGCTAGTATTAATTATACATATGTAAATAAATAGAGCTTTTGAATACTCAAAACGAAAATGCTTCTGATTACTCCATTTACAATTATAGTCATAAGCATATATTTTGTTGTGTGATTGTCACATTTGATTGAGAATTTGACAGATTGATGACTGTCTGATAATGAGATATTATTATATACAGATATTTTTATAATGTAAAATAATATTCTTGTCAATTACTTTTTATATAAACCAATTTCTCATACAGACCCAGGTACGAAACTTAAATAATAAAATTTAAAAGTTTTTAGTAGGCAATTAAAATTAAAATTACGACCTTCTATGAATTAAGGTAGCAGTACTTAACTGCTGAACCACGACGTGTATAGAAACGTGATACTGTTTAGGAACTAAGACTTAACATAATTTGGTAAATAAATAATTTGTATGGCTTCTGTTTATTAGCGTTGAATTAACAACTTGTACCTATAACGTGCGCTTCACCTTGACGAATTTATGGTTTCATGGTATTAAGAATACAAACCCATGTGGCCTTCAGTTTTACCGTACCAACGGGTCTCTCATTTAGGGACTGGTCGTACAGACCACAACGAGCGAGATATAGAGAGGCATTTAAAAATATAATATAATTGTCACACACAAAGTTATTACACGTTTACTGTGTTTTCTATAGATCTATATAAATAAAAACTATTTATAGTCCTTATTTTCCAAAAAATGAAATACAAAAATGGGACTATATTTATTTCATTCTAAATATGAACTTCCAGAATAACGAAATGTAAATTGGCAAAGAGGCACCCCAGATTTCAGAGTAAATAAAACGGAGTTGTTTAATCTCAAATCCGAAAGTGGGGTATCAGTGCGAACACGAGTCAGTGTTTACATTCCACTATCTCACTCATATGTGTACAGAGATACATACGTATTTATGACTAACAATTTGGAGAGAATTGGTGCTTAAAGTCGGTACGAATGACCCCAGATGTGTTACAAGTCACGAGGCTCAATCCGCGGTTTTTGAATATGGAAGTGTACTGTAATTTTATATACAGCTTGCTGCTGCCATAGTTGATAAGACACTTTAGGTAATATAAAGCTTAACATTTTTATTACTCTGCGAAAAGCGTACATTATTAGTTTATCTTTGTAATTCGCTATTTGCTGTCGGTGAAACTAGATCCCTACAACAGTATTGATGTCAAGTCGATCCATTCAAATAATTTATAAGTGTCTATGAATTTTTTCGTACAATAAATAAAAGTATCCTTACCTTAGAAGGTACTAAATTAATTGCCATGAACTGTAATTATTGGTAGATTAATTATATTCAAAGTCTTTTATTACCACCTTGGTTGTTAGCAACGAGTCCATTCGTAGATGATATAAAAAATATCTATTAATTCTTGATTCTATGTACTCTTTAGTAATACAACTTGATACAGTATGGCTGGTAGCCATTGACCACTCCCTGTTCCTGTCTCTATTTGCTACTCAAATATGACCTTTCGAAAAAAGTACGCACCGCGCACGGTACTTGTACATATGAGCGTAAGTAGATGTTTCATTATGTAATAGTGATAGCCATGGTTCTAGATGTATTAATAAGAAATCTTCGGTCTGTGGTAATAGCAAATATGTGAGAGACGGCTGTCTATACCTTTCCATTGGGTATGTTTGATTTGGATATGCTCTGCGTGATGGTTTTAACGTGGAACGGTCGAGTGTTACGTTGCTACAACGGCACGGTCGGCATATAGCTAAGAATTTTATTTCAAAATCCAATGCATGTGCTGTTGCTCCACAGTAGAAATAAGTAACACGGTGACATCTACCCAAAGGAGTAACACAAATCTGTATCATTAGTTAGCTAACGTATTTATAACTATTTCTTTGTTAAGAGAGTGATTGATAGAGGACTATGTTAGCAGATTTACAGGTACAAGGAAGAAGTAACTGAGCAAGTCAGTCGAGGGTGCTCTTGCCGCATTTATCATAGATAAAATGCTACATACTTGTAGTGTCTAAATTAGAAACTTTTTAGAGGAAAACGTTGAACCTCTATGAAAAAATGTATAAATGTGAAAAAAATAAAGGAAATGAAGATGTTGAGAAACTACTCTAAAGAATCTAATCCTATATCTTTTCTCAAGATTTTGATTTCATATGTCTGTAAAGAAATATTAACATTGAGCGTAACTTACGTTTAGACAGATAAGTAAGACGAAACATTTTGGTAATTTGGCTACGGATCTGTAAGTCTTATACTTCTCTGAGTTAACAATT